GCCCCGTGGGCTCACCTACTAAAGTTAAGGCTACGCTGAAATAGCCGCTAGGGCTATCAGCTTAGGTAGGAAAAAAAAAAAAAAAAAAAGTAGTCGAAATTCGACTATAATTAATTGGAATTGTAAGTTTGTACACTATTATGATTGCATTTTATACTTCTATAATCACAAATTTCGCCAAGACTACACTATAAAAAATATTAACAAAGACAAGCAATATTTAATCTCAATTTGACAACAGACGTCAAGAACAAAAGTTTGACAATAAATAGTACGCTTGCGTGTGTGCGTCAAATTCATGGTATGTAATGTGTGTAATGTTTTCTTTATTGATTTAATGTATCTTTTATGCATTTTAAAAAAATATTAGCATTGTGCACTTCTTCTCTATATTCTCTATAAGTGTGGAAAATTTCGTACTCCTCCGTCCGCGCAATTTTCGTAAAAAGGGATACAAAGTTTTTGCTTCACGTATTAATATATAGATTATTATTTATTGTCATTATTATTGGAGAGTCCAACACTCATATAAATATTAGCCTATCCATTAAGTAGGTACATATATTTTCTACATGGATACCAAGTTTCAAAACAATCGCATGCATTGTTCAGTAGTTATAACGGAACAGCCGTATAAACCACTGTAGATTTATATATTAGTATAGATGAATCAGACATAGATACATTCGCTAGAAAATCATTACCCTCCTTCGGCAATCGGGTCAAAACACGACCGATACCCCATTTACTTACTTCGCTTCACCATTGCCGTATATTGTGAAGCCCAAAGCAGTCACGCTGAGATCGTATTTACCTGGAATTTATAGAACAGTTAATCGCAACTACTTCATCTTAAGCATCAAAAGAAAAAACCAGACAAGTTAGTTAGTTAGTCGTCGTGGCCTAAAGGATAAGACGTCCGGTGCATTTGAATCTAGCGATGCATCGGGATTCGAATCCCGCAGGCGGGTTCCAATTTTTATAATGAAATACGTACTTAAAAAATGTTCGCGATTGACTTCCACGGTGAAGGAATAGCATCGTGTAATAAAAATCAAATCCGCAAAATTATGATTTGCGTAATTACTGGTGATAGGACCTCTTGTGAGTCCGCGCGGGTAGGTACCACCACCCCGTCTATTTGTGTCGTGAAGCAGTAATGCGTTTCGGTTTGAAGGGTGGGGCGGCCGTTGTAACTAACTATACTGAGACTTTAGTACCTATATCTCAAGGTGGGTGGCGCATTTACGTTGAAGATGTCTATGGGCTCAGGCTTGTCCACCTATCTAAGCAATAAAAAAAAGTATTAGACACCAATAAAGTCAAATAAAAGAAATGGTACAATATACCGTACCTACCTATCATGAGAATTTTAACCCATTTAAAATACACAATCTGATTGCTTATCAATATCTTATCGAACGTGATGACTCAATTAGCTTCTGTTGTTTGTTTCCAGCTAATATGAAATAAAAGCTATGCTAAGCGTTATTTGGAAATTCCATATCACATCTAATCGTTGGGTTTATTCATATTATTTCTGTTTACTAACATCTTCATATCCAAATGAATGTTCTCGATAACGTAAAAGTTAACTCAAATTTGTATGCAGTTGGAACAGCGCCCCTAGTGGTAAACGTTCCAACTCCATACAAAGTTGAGTTAACTTTTACGCTGTCGAGAACGTTAAAAGACTCGCGCTATGCAATGTTAAAAGGAACGTAAAGGTTCACTGTGGGCCTACCACATTGCTCTAGTTTCAGCCTTTCTCAAAGTGGGCGATAACGCCCCCTACGGTGGACGCTGCAAGCCTAAAGGGGGGCGGTTAGAGACCCAGAAAAAAATGGGGGCGTTGTGTAGTGGCTTGTTGAGGCGATTTGTAATTTCATCTAGGAGGACTTTTTGACACCGTCTGAGCTCTCGGTATAACAGTTTTAAGTAGGTGAAAAAATGGGGGCGCTATAAAATAATTTATTCTCAAAGTGGGCAGTAGATTAAATAAGTTTGGGAGTCCCTGCTCTAGTTCATGTCAATGACCGCTTATAAGATACCTGAACGCGTGTCGACTTTCGGAAGAAATAAAAAAAAGCTTACCAGCGTCCAACGCAATGACTGGTACTTCTCCGTCGATCGAAAGGCCGAAGAGTCCTCGAAGTACTGAAATTATATCGAACGTCAAGGAATTGATCTCAAACGTGCTTAGTTTCCTGACTTCCAAATCCTCTAGGGTCATACGTAGTCTGAAATTAAAATTGGATGGAATTATGGTTAGTAATGATATCCGAGTCTAGAATAATAACTATAACTTCTATCTTATTTCAAGTTTGATTTGAAAATTTAACTAGGCATCGTAATTTTTTTTACTCTGAAAGGCGGAGCAGCCGTTGTATATAAGACAACCAGACCTCAATATAGGTGGTGGTGATTGTGATGTTTATGAGCTTCGGTAACCACCAATTTAAAATTACAATAAAACATGTGTAGTTGTAATTATTGTAATTTGTATACCCGATCCTGTGGACCGAATGGTAAACATTTGACGTCGCCCTAAACACGTCATTACAGATCCTCCCGATCCATTAACGTAGCTTTTAGGTACCTCAAGCATCAGTCACCGTTCTCGCCAAACCCGTCGCTTGCGACGAAAGGCTCGGCGAGTAAAGTAACCCACAGACACAGCCCATTGAGTTTCTCGCCGGATCTTTTCAGTGGGTCGCGTTTTCGATCCCGAGGTTGATTCTGCGCAGCACTGCTCTTCCTAGGGCCAGTGTTAGCAACACCTCCGGTTTGAGCGCCGAAAGCTTACCTACACGCTAGGGCAACGCTGATATAGCCTCTCAAGGCTACCAGCATAGGTAAGAAAAGGAAAAAAAAGTAATATTTTAACTACCCAGGAAGCGGTATCGTTTGATCATCAACTGAGAGGCGATCCAATTGAAATGGGTCCAAAACGGGTAAGGTTTCTGATCCAGTGATCATGGTCTGCCTGAAGCGCTCGAGCATCGAAAGAATTAGCGCTTCAAAGTCAAGGCTCTCGCCCTCATCTGTAAATCATTGTACATTACCTTATTATGTTACCCTAGTGGTCGCCCAGTAGTCGAAATTCGACTATGATTATTGATTTAAATTATAAGTTTGAACATTATTATGGTTCTATTGTCAAAGACTTTACTTCCATGGTCACAGATTTCGCCAAGACTACACTATATATAAATAATATTAAAAACAAACAATATTAATCTATTCTCAATTTAACCACAGACTTTAACAATAAACAAAAGAGTACGAGGGCTGCACTAAAAGTATCGGGAATGGAATATTTCCACTGTTCCTGTCATATTAAAATATTTTTAATTGAAAACTCCTTGGTTTTAAAAATTGAATACCATTTATTTATTTAAAAAAATATTCTCGGGCTTTTCACGAGGTTTTGTCAAACTTGTTTAGTCGTTGAGAAAATGGAATTGACTCGAGAAAATTCAAGAGCGATGATTTATTATGACTTTCTAAGTGGTTTAACACAAAAACAGTGTGTTGACCGGATGATTTCTGCATTTGGTGATGAAGCCCCATCCAAAAACACAATTTATCGCTGGTTTGCTGAGTTTCAACGTGGACGTGTCAAGCTCAGTGATGATCCCCGTCAAGGTCGTCTAAAAACTGCAGTCACCCAAGAAAACGTTGATGCTGTGCGTAAGCTGATTGAGGAAGATCGACATGTGACATACCGCGAAATTCAGGCAACTTTAGACATTGGCATGAGTCAAATACATATAATCTTGCATGAACAATTAGGTGTAAAAAATCTTATCGATGAACAATTCGGATTCCGTACAAATCACTCATGCGTTCAACAGGTGCACCGCCTCACGGAGCACATTCTTGTGGGGCTTAATCGACCAAAACCGTTATACACGGGAGCTCTCTTCTTCGACGTCGCAAAAGCGTTCGACAAAGTCTGGCACAATGGTTTGATTTTCAAACTATTCAACATGGGCGTGCCGGATAGTNAAACAAAAAAAAATAAAAAAAAAAAAAAAAAAAAAAAAAAAAAAAAAAAAAAAAAAAAAAAAAAAAAAAAAAAAGGTGTAAAAAAGTTGTTTTCCCGATGGATACCGCATTCGCTCTGTGAAGAGCAAAAAGCGGCTTGCGTTACTTGGTGCGTCAGAACTCTCGAAAGATATCACGCAGGATCCTCAAATGCTGTATACAACATTGTATCAGGTGACGAATCCTGGATATACGCGTACGAACCCGAAACAAAAAACCAGTCACGAGTTTGGGTGTTCGAAAATGAGTTAAAGCCAACAAAAATTGTTCGTTCACGGAGTATTGCAAAAAAAATGGTGGCCACGTTTGTCGCCAAAACCGGCCATGTTACGACTATTCTTTTTGAGGGACAAAGAACGGTTCATGCAGAATGGTATGCTAGCATTTGTTTGCCACAGGTCGTTTCTGAACTCCGTAAAGAGAACTGCAACCGCCGCATCATCCTCCATCACGACAATGCGAGTTCTCCCACCGCGCACAGAACAAAAAAGTTTTTAGAGCAAGAAAACATAGAATTATTAGACCATCCGCCGTACAGCCCCGACCTAAGCCCTAATGATTTCTATACTTTCCCTAAAATAAAGAATAAATTGCGTGGACAGAGATTTTCATCATCTGAAGAAGCTGTGGACGCCTACAAAACGGCCATTTTGGAGACCCCAACTTCCGAATGGAATGGTTGCTTCAATGATTGGTTCCATCGTATGGAAAGATGTGTCAAATTTCGCGGAGAATACTTCGAAAAGCAATAAATACATTTTTAAATAGTAATGTTGTGTCACTTCGTTAATTCCCGAAATTTTCAGTGCCGCCTATGTATACACGCGTGTGTGTATCAAATACATGGTAGTGTGTGCAATGTTTTTGAAGTGAAAACTTCTTTAGAATCGTTGTGATTTCAAACCGGATGCAACGGAAAAAACGACAGGTAAGAGACACAAATACAAAAATGTGTAGGATGAACCCAGCAAAGAATAAGATAGAAATATACATACTATTTAATACAGCGCCATCTGTGAGATTTTTTAATACTAACGTGTGTATGAAAGCTCTTGTAGTGAATTTTAATTTAGGATTATACGTGAAATTAAAATATCAATTCACAGAGGGCGCTACCTTACAATTATTTACTAATGACAAAATTTTACATATACTTAAGACGTTTAGGATAATTGTNTGTGTATGAAAGCTCTTGTAGTGAATTTTAATTTAGGATTATACGTGAAATTAAAATATCAATTCACAGAGGGCGCTACCTTACAATTATTTACTAATGACAAAATTTTACATATACTTAAGACGTTTAGGATAATTGTATTTTAATTTTGGAAGGTTTCACTTCTACCACGTGTGAATTGCACACATTTTGTTTTTTATTTATTTATTGATGTAATTAATTTTTAAGCATATTTAAAAAAAAATAGCATTCTGCTCTCCTTCTCTATATTCTCGATAAATATGGAAAAATTTATACTGCTTCGTCCGCGCAATTTTCGTAAAAAGGGGTACAAAGTTTTTGCTTCTTGTATTAATATATAGATTACCATTACATGTTACATTACATGCTACATTATCATGTTAGCAACTGCAAGCAATCAATGGTACTTAACCTACAATAAATAAAGGATAAGAGGTCCGGTACATTCGTATCGAGCGATGCACCGGTGTTCGAGCCCCGCAGGCGGGTACCAATATTTCAAATGTAATTCGTACTTAACAAATGTTCACGCTTGACTTCCACGGTGAAGGAATAACATCGTGTAGTAAAAATCAAACCCGCAAAACTATAATTTGCGTAATTACTGGTGGTAGGACCTCTTGTGAGTCCGCACTGGTAGGTACTACCACCCTGCCTATTTCAGCCGTGAAGCAGTAATGCGTTTCGGTTTGAAGGGTCGGGCAGCCGTTGTAACATAGAGACAGTGGGCTGTGTCTATTGGTTAGTTCGCTCGTCGAGCCCTTCGTCGCAAGCGACGGGTTCGACGAGGACGGTGACCGGTGCTTGTGGTGCCTAAAAGCACCGGTAATGGATCGAGTGGAAACCATGATGCTTATCAAATGTTTAGTTTTGTAACACGCTACTTAGCAAGCATAATTTGTACGTAATTTCATTGTCAGAAGGTTATCTGTTTCGATAAGACAAAAAAAAAAAACAACCTTGATTTTCCAAGAATTGGGTAATTGCATTAGCGCCAACCACGTCATTCTTAGGGTATGCCGCAGCGAGCCCCAGAGCAGCTACGAATATACAAACAAAACGCATATTTCTGGAAAGAAATGTTTTTATTTCGTTGTAACTATACTGAGATCTTAGAACTTATATCTCAAGGTGTGTGGCGCATTTACGCTGTAGATGTCTATGGGCTCCAGTAACCACTTAACACCAGGTAGGCTGTGAGCTCGTACACACATCTAAGCAATAAAAAAAAAATAAAAAAACTTTATAGTGTTTGTATTATATTTTAGTTTTTATTATAGTATTTGATCAAATCCGATTACGTGTTGAAATCTTTACTTGAAAATATCACTTGTAATTTAGAAAAAAACTAGGAAGCTACGTAGTTTATATCTTTCGATCATGGTGTAATGTTAACTCTTAATGGAAAGGACGAAACTATTCTTAATATTCATATTTTTATTTTGTTTATTTCTTAGATGGGTGGACGATCTCACAGCCCCCCTGGTGTTAAGTGGTTACTGAAACCCATAGACATCTACGACGTAAATGCGCCACCCACCTTGAGATATAAGTTCCAAGGTCTCAAGCATAGTTTTGCTAACGTGCGATCGTCAAATTATTCCTTCTCAAAATGCCATTGCTTCAAGTTCTTTTGTTCGTGACACCAACGTCCTTTGAGTTTAATCATTTAGAATAACCTCAACAAGGATAATGATTAAAATAACAAGATAATAACGAGGTTTGGACAAGTATTTTGAGTTTTTGTTTTATTGCCCTTGCAGGCAGACGAGCATACGGCCCACCTGATGGTGAGTGGTTACCGTCGCTCATGGACCTCAGCAATGCCAGGGGCAGAGCCAGGCCGCTGCCGGCAAAAGTTCTACTATAATATATTTCTACAAGTGCATCATCTATGTATATATGCCTAACTAAAAATCCAGTACTAATTTTAATTTAGAATTGGTTGGGATCTAGCAATTAGCGCTGCCTAATACCGTCACACACTTTTAAATATAACTAGCCTATTGAGTTAAAAAGTTTTACCCAACAATCTACTGGTGGTAGGACCTCTTGTGAGTCCGCGCGGGTGGGTACCCCCACCCTGCCTATTTCTGCCGTGAAGCAGTAATGCGTTTCGGTTTGAAGGGTGGGGCAGCTGTTCTAACTATACTTGAGACCTTAGAACTTATATCTCAAGGTGGGTGGCGCATTTACGTTGTGGATGTCTATGGGCTCCAGTAACCACTTAACACCAGGTGGGCTGTGAGCTCGTCCACCCATCAAAAAGGTCCTTTATTTATTCGAAATAGCTTAAACAATAGCTTCAATAGGTTTCAATAATTTCTTTATAATTTAATAAATTGTTTACTCACCTAATCTTGATAACGGTCCGCTGTTGACTACATGAAAATTAAATCTGATTCTGTAATGATAGCGATAATCATTATCATATACTTAAGTATGTACATATTATTATTATATGAGGGCGACAAAAAACGATTTGGAAGCCCGTAATCTAATAGATTAGAGTCCCCACTTATTCGTGCAAATCATTTACACACTACTTACGTGAACGATTCAGTTTTATTTATTTATTGCATATGTGAGTGGACGAGCTCACAGCCCACCTGGTGTTAAGTGGAGCCCACAAATCAAATCAAATCAAATCAAAAAATTTTTATTCAACATAAATGAAAGTACATACTTGTTGAACGTCAAAAGAACTACCGCCAATTCACAAGAACTAGCCTCTGTCCTGAGAAGAATTGGCAAGAAACTCAGCGGGCATGTCTTTTTTTTTTTTACATATGAAATTATTATTTATTTATTTTTTAATATTAGATTTTTTTTAAAATATGAATTTTTACATCTACAACGTAAATGCCGCCACCCACCTTGAGATCTGAGTTCTAAGGTCTCAGTATAGTTATAACGGCTACTACGCCCTTCAGACCGAAACGCATTACTGCTTCACGGCACAAACAGACGGGGTGGTGGTACCTACCCGCGCGGACTCACAAGAGGTCCTACCACCAGTAATTACGCAAATTATAATTTTGCGGGTTTGATTTTTATTACACGATGTTATTCCTTCACCGTGGAAGTCAATCGAGAACATTTGTTAAGTACGTATTCCATTAGAAAAATTGGTACCCGCCTGCGGGATTCAAACACCGGTGCATCGCTAGATACAAATGCACCGGACGTCTTATCCTTTAGGCCACGACGACTCATCACGTTGATGAAGAATTAAATATTTGATATTATATAAACGAGACGTGAGCTATAAAATAATTATCGTACCACAAAATATGTATAAGACGCCCGGTATGCTTGTATCAAACGATATGACTATGCACGTGTTCAAAACCCGCACGCAAACTGTGCTTATAAATCCAATCCATCAAAGAAAAATGTGCGTAGTTTATTTTATTAGGAGAAACCTACAAATGAGATGCAATCACCTATTAAATCGTTTTTATTTTTATTTCCATAAACAACGCATTCAAAATTGAATACTTTTGAAAATCCTGGAACATTTTCGCGTTCATATACAAACTCATTTCAAAATTCAAACATTTATTTTCAATAATTATTAGTATTCGTTTTAATACATAATATATTGACGTTTGAAAGGCAAACGTGACTAAGTGACAATGCGTGAGTTTTACAATAGACTAATTTAAAGTTGAAATACCTGAAAACAAAATTTATTTTAACGAATCTAGCTGTAGTAGAATCTAGCTAGTAGCTGTAGGATTGAAATGATTTTAATAGACCTAGAAATATATATTTTTTGCGCATCGAATATGGTTATTGCCTATCATTCATGTACAAAGCAGTTATTGTCGCTTAGTCACGTTTGCCTTTCAAGCGTAGATATAACTCTACAATACATTTCAATACTGTGTACTTTGAATGTTTGCCTTTTTTGGATAATTTTTTTTAGTCTAGATACAAAGTCATTTGGTTCAATTTTTTGCTCTTCTTACCGCGAGATTTCTTTGTGATTTCAATTCCGTTCAATGTGTATTGTAAAATCTTCTGTAGGTATACCTGAAATGATTGTCCTTACATTAAATCCTGCGTCGGGTACATTTTTGTGACGATATCCACCTATTGCTATAATAGTGCGGACTATGTCCGTGTACTGGTGTATTCTTCTTCAAAAAAATCATTCAAATCGGTCCAGCCGTTTAGGAGTTCAGTGACAAACACACGCATAGAAGATATAATATAAAGATTAGAAACTTGACTAGCGTTTTAGTAACACTAGATAATGACAGAGCTTTGCTCGGTTTTTTTTTGGTAAATTGTGTTTTTTAGAAATTATATTTAAATATGAATAACATATCGATAAAATGATGAAATATGAATAATATTTTTCGATCTTACCGACAGAATAATAAAAAATATGAACTGGTTATTTAAAGAAAAAAATCAAAATTATCGATAAAGTTGATTATTGTAAACACGAATAAAACAACATTTTCTGAAAATAAATCGTTGCTAGATCGATTTATCGCCCCCGAAATCCCCTGTATACTAAATTTTATGAAGATCGTTGGAGCCGTTTTCGAGATTCAAATTATATTATTATATATATATATTTATGTACAAGAATGGATCGTTTAAAGATATAAGATTAGGTATTTTAAAATTTACCGAAATCAAGTTGATTACTGCTTTGTTTCTAATGAAATCGTTGATCTTCTCTGAGACGTCCACACCGCAGACTATTACACACATGTCGCTCTGTAATAGAAATTAAAAAGGTTTAAGGATTTGTGTTATTACTCTTTTCTTAAGCCCGTGCTCACCCAAAGCCGAGTGTAGGTCTCTTCAGATGCAATCTATTCTTTTCGGTCTTTTGCCTTACGCATCCATTCCCTACCAGATATTTTGACCAGTCTGCTTAGTGCGAGTTTTTAACGTTTGCCGCTAGGGGCGCTGTTCCAACTGCATACAAATTTGAGTTAACTTTTACGCTGTCGAGAACATTAAAAAACTCGCACTTAAGTACACCGGTCGACGGATCACCTCATCGGTTATTACTGCTTTATATTAATATTTTGGCAGTACGATCGATTCTATTCCAGAGACGTGAGACTTTAGACTTATTTGCTGCTTCATGATGAGTTCATATACAAAAAATATTTCTAGGAAAGATAAATAATCTAAATACTGACTGAAGCGCCATCTGGCGGTCTGATTTGTGAATCTAAACCATCCAGGGCGCCAACCAAACGCAAACAAAAAAAATCGTTCGCATCATTCCAGCCGTTTAGGAAGAGAGTTCAGTGACAAACACACGCACAGAAGAATTATATATATATAAAGATATATATCTAAGGGTGAAAACTATCTGGTTTAAGCAACATTTTTGCAAACTTTACAGGAGAGCCATTTAAAGTCAAAAATTTGGAATAAAAATCATAACAAAAAAAATCGGTTGTCTGTAAAGTCTGTTTACTGACGATAGTTGAACGTGACAACGTCATAAGAAAATACTGATGGAATGGTTTCATTTTTCAAAAGAAAATTTTAATTTTATTTGGTCGATAGATATTTTGTATGGATATAGAGAAGGAAGTAAATGGAAATCACTATTGAATTGATTCTTCGAATCGCCGCAATTATCGTTGCTATAAACAATTGACACCACATTCACTTTTCAGTGAACTTCATACTTGACGAAAACATGTAAATGTATTATTGTATAGCAGCTGTCCACGCGGATGCATCGCTCACTCAAGTAAGAGAGAGACAGATGTCGAACGCTGCCGTACGCGGAGGCCGATTGTGCCTCTTTGTCACTCGTTGCGCGCTCTCGCTTGCACTTCAAGCCTTTAATGGATCGCCTCAGAGCGAGGTAACGCCGCATGGGTCAAATTTTTTTGTGCGTGCAGCCGGCTCCATCGAATTATAAGACGTTGTCACGTTAAAAACTTCTTTAGCTATTTGAATAGAGCAAACTTAATTGAGGTTGAGTTAAAAACATCGTACTGTTGATGCCTATACCAAATGAAACGCACCTTTAGTTTCAAAGATAAATATACCATATTAAGCAAAATGTCGCTTAAGCCAGATAGCCTTTCACCCCTCCATATTATGCGGTAAGCAGCGACTTGGCTCAACCCCTGGCACTGCTGAAGTCCATGGGCGACGGTAACCACTCACCATCAGGTGGGCCGTAAGCTCGTCTGCCTACAAGGGCAATAAAATATTTTTACCTTCACGACGTCTGGAATAATTTTCAACTCATCACAGGTTATGTACATTTGCTTTTCTCGCATAAAGAATCCTATCGCTCCGGATATTTTAACGTTCCTTAAATAAATCCTGAATTGAAAAAGAAAATTAAAAAATTATTAATAATATTAATACGTGAAGCAAAAACTTTGTATCCCTTTTTACGAAAATTGCGCTTACGGAGGAGTATGAAATTTTCCACACTTATAGAGAATATAGAGAAGAAGTGCACAATTCTACTATTTTTTTTAAATAATGCATAAAAGATACATTAAATCAATAAAGAAAACATTACACACACTACATACCATGTATTTGACGCACACACGCATGCATACTATTTATTGTCAAACTTTTGTTCTTGACGTCTGTTATCAAATTGAGAATAAATTAAATATTGTTTGTCTTTGTTAATATTTTTTATAGTGTAGTCTTGGCGAAATTTGTGATTATAGAAGTATAAAATACAATCTTAATAGTGTACAAACTTACAATTCCAATTAATTATAGTCGAATTTCGACTACTGCGGGACCTCTAGTTAATAAAAAAATACAAAAAAAAAGAGACTTTTGTCACACCAATCATTACTGTTTACTAGATTAAGGTACATAATAATATATCGAAGAGTTGCGACTTGCGACACTCTTACTCTGTTCATGAATTCAAGTTTATAAAAAGAACTCAGATACAAACTGTAGGTTTGTTGAAATTTTTATTAGTTCGATCTGTACGGATATATTTTGACACCAGAAACTAAAAGGCGTAGAAAGGTCTGTTGTAATTTGTCTCACCACTACCCTGCCTATCTCTGCCGTGAAGCAGTAATGCGTTTCAGTTTGAAAGGTGTGCCAGCCGTTGTACTGTAAAAACTGAGACTTAGACCTCATGTCTCAAGGCGGGTGACGGTATTTACGTGGTTGATGTCTATGACCACTTAACACTAGGTGGGCAGTAAACTCAATCGCCTATCTTAGCAACAAAATAAAATAAGAAATTCGATGTAACTAGTAACAATTCTAATAATTGCTTTGAAAGAGAAACATGGCACAGATGGCATTGTGTCCCGGAAAGAAAAATCGAGGCAATAGAGAATGCTTCCAAGCAATGGACGAACTGAGATGATTTTGGTGGTAGGACCTCTTGTGAGTCCGCGCGAGTACGTACCATATTTCTGCCGTGAAGCAGTCATGCGTTTCGGTTTGAAGGGTAGGGCAGCCGTTGTAACTATACTGAGACCTTGGGAGTTATATCTCAAGGTGGGTGGCGCATTTACGTTGTAGATGTCTATAGGCTCCAGTAACCAATTAACACCAAGTGGGCTGTGAGCTCGTCCACCCATTTAAGAAATAAATAAAAAAAAATTTTTCAATGTGACAAGCCACACAGTCATTGTACACCTAAAACTGACCAAGCATTCAATCCTTGTAAGTCGAGCTCAAGTTAAGCTATAACGTTATCGCATCCGGTAACCGGAACACCATTAGCGCTTATGGCGGACGCATTAAATTCCTGTGTAATTACGGTCCCACAACAACGAATACTCGGTGGACTTCAATAGATTATTCTACTAAAGCCATGTTCAAAACGGAACAATAAAATTCGTTCTACGATAAATAATTGCAATAGCCAGTTATTTCAAAATGTTATATTGTTAACGTAATATTTTCACAGACCACAAGCCATTGAAGTATCACATCGTTACGGATTCTCCCGATCCATTAACGAGACTTCAAGCACTGGTCACCATCCTCGCCGAACCCGTCGCTTGCGACGACCCGGGTTCGACGAGTAAAATAACCCATAGACACAGCCCACTGAGCTTCTCGCCGAATCTTCTCAGTGGGTCGCGTTTCCAATCCGCTGGTAGATTCTGCGAAGCACTGCTCTTGCTAGGGCCACTTCCCCTGTGAGCTCGCTCACCTACTACTTAAAGTTATGCTGAAATTGTCTCTCACGACTATCAGCTTAGAGGGAAAAAAAATTGAGGTATGCGTTTACAAAAAAAAAACAACACCTGACAGACAAGAATTACCCAAAAGACAGTTCGCTTAGTTACACGTGCAATCCCTTCAATAAAAACACAAAACAAATAAAAATATAGACTATTCAGTTCCTAACGCAAGTCCATTTAAAGCCATTTCTTATTTAAAACTTCTGCAAGGTAGATTTCATTTTTGCTGAGGTAACACGTTATAATTAGCAGTTTTTTTTTTTCAATTTCAATAATATCAATGTTAATCACTATTTTCTTTTCTTTCTTTATTATTTCCTTTTTTTAAATCGAGCTCCCGTAAATCAACCCGTTACAGCTTATTAGCGAATTTGCCACAGACATTCAAGATATAAGTGGATTGGATAGCACGGTCGCAGGAGCCTTATTCCGAGTTAAAATTGTATACTGCCGTAGCATATTTGATGCTACACTGGCTGAAGGATTAGTGACTGATAGTTACTTATTCAACATTTGAAAAGACATTAACATAAACCTAAATAGATAGCCAAATAGGAAATCAATTTTTTGAGGACTTGACAACAACAAAAGGCCCTACCATATCTTCAGAAAAAAGGGATACACTTAAAAGAACGCTTCCATTATGAACATTCTTGTGACATCCTCACATATATATCTATGTTTTATTTTGGAAACTAGATTCACAGTTAATCTAAATGCTTTTTCTTACCGTCCATTTATCTCTAGTGCTAACTTGAAACCACCAATGTCAAGCTCCGCTCTGGTTTGACCTGAAATGTTTGACTTTGTTTCTAAGGTGTCACCCAATAGTGGTACATGAAGTCATTAGTTGTCGATACGAGCATAAACAGTATATAACGTTTTGCCCGCACCAATTAAAGATGATCCGACTCCAATGATTTGTATCAGCCACAACTACCTGACTTAAATACATATATAAGGAAGAACTAATGGAAAATTATTGTCTGGTGCTGGGAGCCTGGTCCGTACTTGCCTAATCTTGCTGGGGAGCAGCAACGCTGTCCAGTTTGAAGAGTGAGACAGTCAGTACAATTGACATTTCGATCTCACGTCTCGAAGTGGGTAGCGGCATTTACTATGCTGTACAATGATATTATAATTTTTACTATAACATCATTGATGTTGTAATGTCTAATGGCTCCAGTAGCCACTTATTTCCAGGTCAAACGTACAACGATCAAACGTTCGTTCTGCTATCCACAATCTCTTAAAGATACACTTAAACAAAAATATTATTTGTTTTATGGACACCTCCGGTCAGGTAAACGGTGGGGTATGCAAGAAATGGACGAGGTGAGCCGAAGACCGTGCTCATTGATGTTAATTAGGAGAGGCTTATGTTCAGCAGTGGATTTATGGGCTGACAATGATGAATTCATAAGTTTTGCGAAACTACCCACCGATATCCACATTAAATTCTGGTATTGAAAAATCAAACTCCGCCGCGGACGTGCAATGATTGAATTTCAATATATCCTTCGCATAATGACTCACATCATTTATGTTCAAATGGTCTACATTTAACTTGAAGTTGACGCTGAAAAATTAAAATAATATTGGAATAAATAGTGAAACAATTAGCCATTTCCTGTTTTGTTTGTCGTACTTAGTTGGGTGAACCAGCCGATAACCCATGTCATATTTCGCGATTACATATTCCCTACTCTTCTACTTCTCTACTTCTCTATTGGGTCATAGTCTCATTTGATTTTGAGCATTTGAGCCTTTCGTAAACTTTTGTCGATTACCTATGCCCTTGCATATACTGGTACCTGCCTGCAAGATTCGAACACTGGCATATACACACCTTGCCTTACAACAGTCAAAAGGGCTACTTTATTAAATATGACGTCATTTGGGGTGAAAATAAGCGACAGATTAACAAAAAAGTGAGGCTGATACATTTCAGTATTCAGGTAAATCACGTCTATTTTATTTTAGGCAGGAAGGATCATCACACAACGTGGTCTCGCCTTGTCGCGGCGGTGGGGCTTAAGCGTGCACCTCGATACCGTGGAGCAACGTTGTCTGCACAGGGGTGCCGCGAACTAAGTAGACTGCACACCGTATTCCCGTTTCCCACCTTTGCTAGACAAAGGGTGCGTGAAGAGGGAGAGCTGGATGCTAAGCCATGTCCCCGGCGGCTCCCTGGCTGCTAAAGGGGAAGGCCCTCCAGAGCGGGGTACCGGTACGCCAGCGTGGCCACAACGTGGTCAGACGTGTGGGTCTGTCAGTAATGGTAGACCCCACGTGGAAGAGAAGTGAACCGGAGGGCACTCCCTTCCGGTCGCTGATCGCCATGTCCCCGGCTGCCTCTTCGCGGCTACAGGGAAAGGCCCTTCAGAGGGGGGTACCGGTTTACCGGCGTGCATAGTAGCAGTCACACCCTTAAGGCGGTATTTCACGATTGCTTCGCTTCATAATTGGGCAGGCATAAATTAGTCATAGCGGAAGGCATCGGCTTTGATCGGTAGGCAGGGGCTTGACTCTGCTCTTGGCATTGCTGACGTCCATGAGCGACGGTAACCACTCACCATCTGGTGGACCATATGCTCGTCTGCCTACATTGGGCAATAAAAAATAAATAAATAATCATAATAATAATTTGACAGTGCGCTGCTACCAGCCCGGCGGGTTTACAATATGCCCTAACAATAGTAAATAATACCCTTTGACAATCTGAGTATGCTGGTTCTCCGGTAAATTTCTTAACCTCCTATTACGACCCGAGTAAGGTAGCAAACACAGCCCACTGAGTTTCTCGCCGGACCTTCTCAGTGGGTCGCGTTTCCGATCCGGTGGTAGATTCTGCGAAGCACTGCAAGAGCAAGAGCTAGGGCCATGTTAGCAACACGCCCAGTTTGAGCCTCGTGAGCTCTCCTACACGTCAAGAAGCTGATATAGCCTCTCAAGTCTATCGGCATAGGTAGTAAAAAATAAAATAAAAATAAGGTAGCTATTCTAGGCAACACAGGTTCGGGTTCGGAACTGGGTGAAGACTTGAAACGTCACATAATTACACTTACATTCATAGCAACAAACATTAAATAAATAAATAAAAAAACGGTACCTTAATTCGATATTTTCGTAGGACATTTCATAATTTTCCAACATCCGAGCTTCCTTTATAATTTTCTGAACGAATTCCATCCAGCGGAGATTTAATACGTCGGTCAGCAACTGTTTTGTAACGTTGTCCATTTTTCTTCAAAACCTTGCAAGAATTTCAAGGAATTAGTTCAGTTTCAGAGATCGGTAGGAAGCGGCTTGGCTGTGCCCCTGGTATCGCTGACGTCCATCGGCGACGGTAACCACTCACCATCAGGTCTGTATGCTCGTTGTAAATAAATAATATTAATTAAGGCCAATCTATCATTTTATGATTTTTGATAACATCGTGTAATAAAAATTGAACCCGCATAATTATAGTTTGCGTAATTACTGGTGGTAGGACCTCTTGTGAGTACACGAGGGTAGATACCACCACCCTGCCTATTTCTGCCGTGAAGCAGTAATGCCTTTCGGTTTAAAGGGTGGGGCAGCCGTTGTAACTATACTTGGCTTTAGACCTTAGAAAAGAGACCTTAGAACTTATATCTCAAGGTGTGTGGCGCATTTACGTTGTAGATGTCTATGGGCTCCAGTAATCACCTAACACCAGGTGGACTGTGAGCTCGTCCACACATCTAAGCAATAAAAAAAAAAATGAGTATAACTATTTACCAGAAATTTCACTAATACCCTTAACATTTTGGGTATTAGATAGTCGGGGAAACAAGTACCTAATTTATAAAAAGTCTAGAAGCTAACAGAAGATCAGTAATTCTTAAATACTAGAGGTCCCGCAGTAGTCGAAATTCGACTATAATAATTAATTGGAATTGTAAGTTTGTTCACTATTATGATTGTATTTTATACTTCTATAATCATAAATTTCGCCACTATAAAAAATATTAACAAAGACAAACAATATTTAATCTATTCTCAATTTGACAACAGACGCCAAGAACAAAAGTTTGACAATAAATAGTTTGCATGCGTGTTGCGTCAAATACATGGTATGTAGTGTGTGTAATGTTTTCTTTATTGATTTAATGTATCTTTTATGCATTATTTTTAAAAAATATTAGCGTTATGCACTTCTTCTCTATATTCTCTATAAGTGTGGAAAATTTCATACTCCTCCGTCCGCGCAATTTTCGTAAAAAGGGATACAAAGTTTTTGCTTCACGTATTAATATATAGATTTATAATTAAAATTTCGTTGTTTTATTAATTTAAAATATGCGTTTTCGTTGAAGGCGATAGATGGCATTTTATTTTGTCATTCAACCGCTTTTGATAACAGCGTTAAAGAAAATTTGGAACGATTATCGAAATTCGACCTTATTCACTGACGGTTTAAGTTTTAAATTAATTTTATGTACTACATTTTTTTATTAACATGAAGTTAAAAAATAGACTGTCCAACTTTTTTTATTGGAAACGCTTAAACTCGTCAGTGTATTAAACATTAATTTATAAGTTCTTATATTATAATAATATTACATATATAATAATATTATTACATATCATTTAAAAAAGTCAGTATCATTTATACTGAAAACTCCAAAAAAGTACAATGGGAAGTTTTATTGTTAAGAGCAATTCCTTTTAGGCAACCATCGGAAGGATACGATAAGAATCATCTAAGGTAATATACTATGTATAATATATAATACGTTGTGCAGTTTAAAAATTACTAACTAAATTTATATCAATAAATTATCAGGGACTTGCATATCGATTAATAATAAGAAGAAAAAAAAACAAATAATCAACACAATTAATACAATTTGGTAATACAGTAATACAGTTGCGGATAATAGCATGTACTTTTAGGTTAGGAATATTGTGTTCTCTTTTTTTATAATAAATAAATTAATATAAAATTAAAAAAAATATATAATATACAACATAACTATTTAAGGTAAATCATAATTTGAAATTACCTATCGCAAGAATAGCTGATGCAATAGTGTGATTTAAATTACAAAATAAATACTAGTATTATGTAGTTATGGTGATTATTCTTTAAAAAACTAAAACTCACTTGTATTCTTCTTCTGCTGTTTCGAATATTTTAATGCACTCGCAAAACACCCAAACTATAAAAACGTATCAAAATATTAATTAATGTTGTAAAAACGTGATTGATTTCCACTACAGGACTTGGACGATCCGTATTCTGTATAGTGTATAGCTTCACAGGCAACCGAAATCTGAATTAATCTGATGCAATTTTATTTCTGGAAAGACTCGCTGATTCAGTCGGTCGCGATAGAGTAGTGCAGTGAAATACTTGTACTTAAATATGACTCGATAAGATAGAATTCCTGCGTATATACGCTAGCAGAGAAATTCGCAGAATAGGGTTTGCGTTATAGGTAATATTATTATGTTGATGTTTTTTTATTGTTTCAGCTCTCGGCTTATCTCTATATTAAGGGGCTACCAGAGCCCCTACACAACACAAAAGTAAATACTGCCACCCACCATGAGACACGAGTTCTAAGTCTGAGTTATTTCATTACTGCTTCACAGCAGAAATAGGTGGCCTGATCGAAAAGAAAAAAAAATCTGCTTTGGGCCTATTCTAATAACACGATACAACTACAGCAGGGCCTTAACATATCTAACTAAAAAGTCGAATTCTGCATTCCTTATTCCCCTGTTTCCTTCTGCTTATTAATAAACTAGCTTTTTCCCGCGACTCCGTCCGCATGGAATAGTTACTTTGGCATAACGCTAAATTTTACCCCCCACTTCACTTACGTAGAAAGTGAAAATATTTTTGAAGTATAGAATGTTAAGGAGTTCTTTAAGACCTTATTTTGAAACATTATTTATTGGTGCTCCACTTTTATTGGTCTAAATGGTCTATCTAACACTGTAAGATTTTTATAAATCGTACCAGTAGTTCCTGAGAATAGCGCGTTCAAACAAACAAACTCTTTAGCTTTTTAATATTAGTATAAATCTACATGTCGCAGAAGGGCCGATATTGACATAGTGGGCGTATGGTGGGTAGCCGTGCAAAGAGACTACGCATCACGAAACGATATATCAGTTTTGCATTTTTTCCACTCTTCCTAAGTCAGGCAATGAATGTGCTTCCATTCAACTCAAGCTATGTATGACACCTCAACGCTGCCGAACCACGCCACCCAAAGTGAGCCGATGTTTTACGAGTAGTTGGGACTTACATCCACCAGGGGACGCGCTTTCGCTTCGTTTATCGTGTCCGGATGCGATATTACGTATCATATTTATTATTTAAATAAAAAAATGTAGGACGCACGAAAAAACTAGTACCGTAATTTACAAATTTTATATATCACATAAATTCACATATAAATTTGTCAGCATTTAGAAATGAATCAGAGAAACGCCTTTATTTGACATTCATTGATAATTAATTAAATACTTCGAGAAAAAAAAGACTAGTATCATCGATCAACCAAAGAGCTATCACATCACTAAGCAACAGCATCAGAGTATTCCCAGAGCATAGACAAACTAAAAATAAAATCGATTCTCTTATAATCGTATTCAGGGGAATACCCCTTTGGCAGTATTGCCATAAGTAAATTGGAGCTATAGTATTTTGTGAGCAATATGCTAAAAAATCTTTATTGCTATTTTTTTTCATCAGTACATTTTTATTATTTTTTCCCTACTCATTCGCTGGTAGCTTATGAGGCTATTTCAGCTACACCCGAACGGGTAAAGGGTAGATAGGAGAAAGAAAACCCACGGTATGGGCCGTCCAAAGATCTTAATGGCGGGAAAGGAGTTCCGCGCCTAATTCGTGTCGAGATACTAGCAGTAGTGTCGGGAGGGCGACCCCTTTGGAAGAGCACGGCTTTGATGTCAATGCGCCACTTCCGGAATCACTGTCCTAAATTGATGACCGCGATCTGGAGCTTACTTTGCATGAACGACATCTTCCTACTCGAGTAGTAGATAGCCGTATCAATAGCCCCCAAAAAGGGCTAAATGGGTCGCCAGGGTATATCTTCAATAAATAGGCTAAAAAGTACGGAGATAGAGCGGAGCCTAGCGAGGTTCCGACTGAGATACGTCGTGGGAGAGAGCGAGCTCCCTCGACTCGATACCGAAACCAACGGTTCGACAAGAAGTCTCGTATGATGAGCACAAGGCTGTCTGGCACACCCATATTAAGCAGTTTGTAAATTAAGCCGTTATACCAGACTTTGTCGAACGCCTTCGCGTCTATTTAGCCATTCTAAGAAGTGTTCCGTGAGGCGGTGCACTTGCTGCACGAGTGTTTCGCGCAGAGCCCGAACTGTTCGTCGATCAGTGTGCTTTTTAAACATTCTCGATAGCGTAAAAGTGAGTCAAATTTTGTATGCAGTTGGAACAGCGCAATTCGTTCTCTAACCAAGCAGCAAACAAGTCTAAAGTCTCACGTCTCTGGAATAGAATCGATCGTACTGCCCAATTATTAATATAAAGCAGTAATAACCGATGAGGTGGTCCGACGACCGGTATGCTTAGTGCGTGATTTTTTTTTTTTTTTTTTTTTTTTTTTTTTTTTTTTTTTTTTTTTTTTTTTTTTTTTTTTTTTTTTTTTTTTTTTTTTTTTTTTTTTTTTTTTTTTTTTTTTTTTTTTTTTTTTTTTTTTTTTATTGCTTACATGGGTGGACGAGCCCACAGCCCACCTGATAAGTGGTTACTGGAACCCATATAGACATCTACAACGTAAATGCACCACCCACCTTGAGATATAACTTCTAAGGTCTCAGTATAGTTACAGTCTCAGTTTGTAACGTTCTCAATAGCGTAAAAGTTAACTTAAATTTGTATGGAGTTGGAACAGCGCCCCTAGGGGCAAACGTAGGCAAACGATCCCATTCCATACAATTATGAGTTAACTTTTACACTATCGAGAACGTTAAAAACCTCGCACTAAGCACACAAGTTGCCTTTCGAGGTGATGAAGCCCCAGAGGTGCTTGCGTAATGTTCGCTCGTATAATTTGCTTAATACTGGGAGGAGGCTGATCGAGCGGTACCTCGCGGGATCATTTTTAGCTTTTCCAGGTTTGTGTATGCCGATAAAGTCCGCTCCTTTCCACACCGCTCGAAAGATGCAGCTCGTCATATCGGAATTTAAAATGGAGAGTAGCATGATTATTAGCAAGGGCGGATCCAGGGGAGGTCATGGGGGTCATGACCCCCCCCTGAGCTGGTTCCAGGTGGACCACATATTGAACATAATGATTTTAGGACCACGGTTATGGAATATAAATAAGCTGCCTCATTCCGGGCGTGACAGTGCTTCTCTGGATGTCTTCAAGAGAAGATGACAATATGTACGTGTATATGTACAAGTTATTATGTGTTAAGTTAAAATTAAATTATAAGTTCTTGACTTGACCATGACTATGTGACCCCCTCCTGGCACCAAAGCTGGATCCGCCCTTGATTATTTGTTGGGTGGATAAATTTTTTTTCTTCTACCTACGCCGAAAGTTCGGTGTAAGAAACTCTAACTTTTCCTCCCGCTGTACAGGGAAGAAAGTGTAACTTTTCCTCCATGGGTACTGACAAGTGAGCATGCGCGTTAGTGTCTACGTCTGCTCTCACGCACCTAAAATTCTCCGCCATTGTTGTGCTCTGGTAATTTGCAGTATTGTGTTTAGTGTAAAAGTGAAATAAACAATAAAATTTAATAGTGAAGTATTAAAAAATATGAGTTCATCAGACAGCTCTTATTCAATTAGTGGTAGTTTATTTAAAAATTAAAGAACAGTTATATTGTTTTTTTATGAGGATGGGGGGGCTCGGCCCCCTCCCCCCGCCAGGGCTTCGCCCCTGGACCCCGGCTCGATACTCCACAACTTTCGGCCTGGTTGGAGAAAAAATTGTATGTGCACCGCGGGAAAAAAGTAGGACATCTCATCCCGCGTGCTAGCTAGGCAATTTTACACGCAGGAGGAAATGTCCTACTTTTTCTGACGGCCTTAGACATGACAACTAGTATGACCCAAAGCCGTGACCCCATTGAAATATGAGGTCTAAGCGTTCATTGTATTCAATGGTATTATATAACGGCTACCCGACTCTTCGAACAAGAACGGATTCATTCTGCGCAATAGAAATAAGCAGTGCTATTGTACCCGTGCCAGATCTCACACGGCGCAACTGCCGCTAAAACAACCTTGTGTTACCTTGTGTAACATAAACAAAAACGTATTACAAAATATGTATGTGCAAAGATATATAAGTCCCGGGGAGACGTGATATACCGTCCATCGGAGTCTCTCTCAGTGGCGATCAAAACTGCTGTGTGAAATGGAGAGTTCTCTGGCTTAGGTCACCGAATGGAGTGAATTGTAATACGTTCAATTCAAGACTTTGAAGACAAAGGTTTGCGCGTTCATCGCGAAGAATAGCCTTTTTGTCCTGCTGCAACCTTCCTAGAGTATTGAAATACTTGGGGTCGATATTTCAAGCTATCCTTAGTATCAGAGTCATTTGGAAGGTCAAAGCGGCTCCCATACCAACTACTTCCATTTGACTCCATTGAGAAATAGGCCGTTCAGAATATCGATAATTCCGTTAGTGGAATCGTATAAGCCTCTGCCTGTGCCTTTCAGCCTCATATAAGCCTCTCTTATAAGTCTAAAGAGGGACTTTGGTTTTCCCTGTGTTTTGTACAGTACGTTCCGTGAAAAGCACTTTAAGGAATATTTCGAATTATCCCTTCATCTCATTTTTTAGATCACATCTCTCGTCACCAAAGCAGAACTCATTTATTATGGAACCGCTGCATGCGTTTTCAGATAAATTTCCACCACCACTCCCATACGACTCTGGAATGCAATCTCTTTCACAGTGTACCCAAGCGCTACGACATGTCCTTTTGTAAATTAGACTTGCGGACTGTATTCATTGGTAGGTAGCGATTTTTTTGTGCCCCTGACATTGCGGACGTTCATGAGCGGCGGTAACCACTCAGTAGCAGATGCTCCATATGCACATCTGCCCACAAAGGCAGTAAAAAACTATCAGTTGCTGCGGACCTTTGTTTTTATTGCTTAGATGGGAGGCCGAGCTCACAGCCCACCTGGTGTTAAGTGGTTACTGGAGCCCATAGACATCCACAATGTAAATGCGCCACCCACCTTGAGATATAAGTTCTAAGATCTAAGTATAGTTACAACGGCTTCCCCACCCTTCAATATAATACCAGTATAATAGGGTCTCCAGCATAATGAGACCCACCAGTATTATAAACTCACACTATTCAATCAATTTGGATATTGGGCCAGATATCTGTGATTTTTATTATGCTTCAATTTAGACATAATAAATATCAAAGTGTAATTATTAAATTTGTTAACAAAATTATAATTTGTGTAATTACTGGTGGTAGGTAGGACATCTTGTGAGTCTGCACGGGTAGGTACCACCACCCTGTCTATTTGTGCCGTAAAGCTGTAATGCGTTTCGGTTTCAAGGCCGGGGCAGTCGTTGTACTGTTAAAAGGTATACATTAGAACTCATGTCTCAAGGTGGGTGGCGGTATTTACGTTGTAGATGTCTATGGGATTCGGTAACCACTCAACAGCAGGCGGGCCGTGAGCTCGTCCATTCGTCTAAGCCAGTCTTTCTCAAAGTGGGCGATAACGCCCCCTGGGGGGCGTTTGAAACCTAGAGGGGGGCGTTAAGGGGCCCAGGAAAAAATGGGGGGCGTTGATGTGGGTTATGGGGGCGCTGTAAAATTTGTAATTTCATTTACTTAATTTACCCATTACCGTCCAATGTCAAATAGTATAGTAAGCCTAAACAGCTCACTTATTGNCAAAAAAAGATATTCCTTCCAAAACCTTGGTGTTACGGTGGTTTTTTACTCCGTTTTTGAACGCGCAGTGCAGCGTTTTGACGTCTTAGTGTTGGCTATGATTGGACCATACTAATTTGAAATAAGACCACAAATTTATTTGTGGTCTTATTTTTCGGGCCGCTTTTGAAGCGCTAATCGCGAATCTAGTAGTATTATTGATCGAAGATATGCGCTTTATCTTGAAAATGTCGTAAGCGAGGTTCAGGCACCTGTCAATTATCTTGCGTTGTATGATGGCTACCCGCCACACTTTATGCCAATGCCTATTCTTTTTGATAGCAAGATATAGTTAGAACGATATAATTTTTTTCAAGACAGAGATACTGTAATGTTCAAAACAATCAAAGAATTCATTCATTAAATAATCCTTTAATCACATTAACTTTGCAAAATTTAAACGATACACATTAAGGGGCTGTTTACAAAAGATTGTTGATAATGAAGAGGATGATGCGCTCAACGATCTCCCTGATCTGCTCCTGGAAGCCGAATAAAAAGAGCTATTTTAGAAGATACGTCCTGAATGTCGAAATTGAAGATTTTTGCGCAATTTTCTATCTTCTTCTCCTTTAAATATATAAAACTGAATTGCTGTTCGTTAATCTCGCTAAAACTCGAAAACGACTGGACTGATTTGGCTAATTTTGGTCTTGAATTATTTGTGGAAGTCCAGAGAAGGTTTAAAAGGTAGATAAGTATCAAAATGCTACTTATCTATCTTTTGGTGCAAAAACTGGACCATGGTGGTCACGACCCTCAGTAATGAGGAAACGACAAAGAAGAAGAAGAAGATCAAAATAACAATTTTGTTTTTCCTTTGATGTGACCCCCGTCGGACGGATTCCTTTTGTTTGTTTTAAGTTTATTTTATACAAAACTTTAGGTCTTTTATTTATCGATTGAGGCACTGCGAAGTCTGCCGGGTCAGCTAGTATTATAATAAACGTTTTGAATTAAGCACAAAAATACTTACGTTGTATGTTTCGAGAAGTTCGGGAAGTCTGTTGTTCAAAGCGTCATTCAGCTTCTCGGATACGTCGTCGCCGAAGAGAACTACTTTGAGAGCGGACTGTAAAAAGAAGAATACATTAGTCTTAGCTTAAGTTAGAAAACCTTAAGCCCAGGTGCCTTTTCTCTACAGGTATTAATGATTTACTGACAGTTCTCTCTATTCCATCTTTGCCATATTCTTGTACTCCTTCATTCTTTTTTTTTATTGCTTAGATGTGTGGACGAGCTCACAGCCCACCTGGTGTTAAGTGGTTACTGGAGCCCATAGAGACTTATAACGTAAATGCGCCACCCACCTTAAGATATAAGTTCTAAGGTCTCAGTACAGTTACAACGGCTGCCCCAACCTTCAAACCGAAACGCATTACTGCTTCACGGCAGAAATAGGCAGGGTGGTGGTACCTACCCGTGCGGACTCACAAGAGGTCCTACCACCAGTAATTACGCAAATTATAATTTTGCGGGTTTGATTTTTATTACACGATGTTTTTTCTTCACCGTGGAAATCAATCGTGAACATTTGTTAAGTACGAATTTCATTAGAAAAATTGGTACCCGCCTGTGGGATACGAACACCGTTGCATCTTCTTATCCTTTTATGTCTTATCCTTTAGGCCCCGACGACTTCCAATATATTTGGTATGATTAGACGGCTTATTATTTATTCGTAGGATTAGACTGCTTATTGTGAATTTATTTCAGATTCAATTTTTATTCTAAGCTTCAATGTTTCTAACCTCTGTGTAGTAGCTGTACTGACAATATTAAGTGATACCCACTACGTGGATTCTTAACTAACTTGCGATTTCAACTTAATTCCTTCATACAACTATGAATCTATTGGCTATTGATCATTTTCCAAACGTTATAACTATTTTGTGGATTTGTTCAAAACCAAATGAAATAAATTAGAAAGTATAACTAAAAATAGTCATATAGTAATCATTAAAAAAATTACCTCAACATTGCCAACAGTAAGAACGGCACTGAGCTCCCTAATGCTGATGCTAGGTAGCAATCTTATGCTGACTGTGGAGACCAGACGAAGATCTTCGACGACAAGGCTAAAAAATAGTTAAATTATGCATTAAATCGTTTTTGCAACGTAAGTTATTTAAATTGTAAATTTGAGAGATCACCAATCAATCTTTAGTTTTCAGTCTCAGTATAAAAAATTACCAAATTGCATTATTGCAAATGCATGCAAAATGCATACGATAATTACCTTCCACTACTGGATACAGCCAATTCCTTGCCAAAGATGGTGGCCTCACCGTTGACGGCGACTATAGAAAATAGGAACGGGTTGAATTAAATGAGGAATTATTTAATTTAGGATCCCAAATATTTGCTTTTATTGTAGCTAAAAGGATTTTGATAGTTAAAAAAATATTTAAATATTATTCTAAATAATATTTTAAGATTACTATTGATGCTACGAATGATTTTACGATAGACTGGATTGTCGACTGTCCGTATGCAAATAAATCATAACCCATTTCATCCATAATCAAAAAAACCATTAAGTAGTACGTAATAAAATAATAATACCAACGTTGAATAAATATGTCATATTATTGTAACTAAACTTACCAGAAGAGGCGCTGAGCTTGGGGAGGGTAAGATCGACGCTGAATTTTGATCTCAAAATGTTGAAAGTGACGTCATTGACGACAACGTTGCTGGCGCCTTCGAGAGCCAAGTGGGCTACGGTGCCAGATGCGCTGAAGATGCTGCAAAATCATTAAATATTAAATTAATATCTGAAATACGTTTTATGAAGCTCTATAATGAACTCCTTTCCTCGATGCTGGAAGGTATGACGGACTATTCTTCAACCGCGATATGAGTTAAGAGCAGACATATAAAAGCAATAGGCAATTCAAAAGAAAGACCTTGATGTCTAATTTGAAAACGAAATTACCATTTTGTCTAGTCTGCGGAAAAATTACATCAGTTTCAAATTTAAAAGCTGGCTTCGATCTGTCCTACTGTGAATTCATACATAACACAAAGACCATATAATTTTTATGTATCCAAAGTACCTTCTTCATTTATGTTATCTTTTTATAAATACTTTTGTATTTTAGAATAAAGCCCAAAGAACATTATGATAGTATTTTTTTATGTAATACTTACTCAGAAATTGGGAAAGTGTAATCGCCTTCGGCTTTTTCGATGTAGATTGGGTCGAGTCCACGCTCTTGGATACCGGAAGTGATGCGATCGATGACGTTCACAATCAATTGCTCGACCAAATTCTGTCTTTCTCTCTCAAGGTCTAAAACACAATATGAACTTTGTATTGGTGGATTCATCCTGGTTATACTGCGGTGGTTCAAATCATGTTCCGCCTGTTTGTAATGAACAATTCCTGGACGAAATAGCGATCTATTTAATTTTTAGCTTTGTCCGCTTAACGCCTTCGTTCATTAAACACAGGAGTGCTCGATCTAAGCTTTCTGCAAGTGAGCAACTGAAAAAGTGTCAGCCCCGTGTTTTTTTTGATAATCAAATCCATACTATGAATTTCGATTGAATTCGATGATTGACTGACTAAAACTAATTTTTCACGATTTTAATACTTTACCCTTTATCTACAGTATTTCAGAGTAGCTTCAAAAAAAAATGTTCATCAACTTCAATAAGATAAATCGCGCACTTAGCAAGGCCTGATGACAGTACAATAATTTAGTTGTATCTCTGGCCTAATATTCTGACTAGTATAAAAAAATATTTATTTTAATTCGGCTTGATGGCAATTTCGAAGCTACTCACCAACTTTTGAGGGCACAGCAGCGACGCTGGCAGCGAGAGTAACAAGTACAAATGCGAAGACCTTCATTGTCGATTTTTTGCTGAAAGAAACGTACAATAATGAAGTATAAATGTTACTTGGCACCTGCGATTTAAACTGGTATGATTTGAAATTGTTTTGATAGAGAGAACAGAAGTTAAAATTTATGTAATTTTCAGTGTTTCCCTGAGAAACACAAATGCTCTTACCTCACCAAATAAATGTGTACGATTTATTGAATTTTCATTCGGTATTTATACTGTTTCCTACGCTTAAGCTGATAACGTATTCTCTATTAGCTGACGTACATTAAAACAATCTTGATCAAGATTATCTGATTGAAATGTGTATATTATTACATTTCAAAGTGAAAACAAAATTAAATTGAGACGTGATAATTACGAAATCGATAGATTGGTGATAAATTTTGAAAATATTACTGAAACAAAGAAGTAAATATTATCATCCTTATTGCAGAATTTTCGTTCATTTTCGTGATGAGTTCATTTAAGACATTAAAGATATATTTATTATGTCAAGATTCATGAAATGTTTTTGAACTGTTCTTTAATACATGTATGGCATTACTTCAAGATGCCTGAAATTATTTAGTCTTAATACGTTGTCATACTCCAAATTTGGCTTACTTGAAAAAAAATGGAATTGGATACGACAACAGCTATCGGGCCAGCAAGTCTTAAAAATAATTGCAGTTGGAGTCTCTCATTTGTGTTCCACCACACGTTTGTATTCAATTCACGCCATATTTATCAAGATTATTTTAAAATCAGCGGCCCGCACCGGCTTCGCTCGAGTCTTTAACAAAAATTTCAACGATATTTGACGTCGTTTTATTTTTTTAAATAAAAGAACACCTATTGCGGCATAACTGTAATAGTTAGACATACGCTGTCTTTTTGTAAATAATAATGTGTTTTACAAAGTCGTAGCACATTATTTTATTCTATCATCAATAGTTTTCGCAGGGCACGCGATGTAAAGAATATCTTAAGTAATTTTTTTACACCTTGGGTTACATTATTGGAGTTTTAGTAAGGATCCCTAATATATTTTTTTATAAAGATTATATAGCCAATGTCACTCAGGAATAGTGTAGCTTCCAAACAGTGAGAGAATTTTTCAAAACAGTTCAGTAGTTTCGGAACCTATTCAATACAAACAAACAAACAAATCTTTCCTCTTTATAATATTAGTATAGATTACAAACACTAAAATAATTATTTCATATTCAACAGCCTCACAAAAAACGGTCGTTTTGGCTTAAAGGATAAAACGCCCGTTGCGTTCGTATCAAGCAACGGTGTTCGAATCCCGCAGGCTGGTACCAATTCTTCAAATGAAATACGTACATAACAAATGTTCACGATTGACTTCCACAGTGAAGGAATAGTAAACATCGTGTAATAAAAATCAAACCTCTAAAATCTTCGATCAACAATAAGATAAGATAAAATAAGATAAGCCTTTATTAACAATCTAATTTAAGTTACATTTTTAATACACTTATTATCTAGTTTTATTATTCGACACCAGTTTCTTGATCGTCTTGCTGTACAGCATAGGCCTCCCCAAGGGTTTTCCATAATATTCTTGTTAATTCTTCCATAATGTTTTTCTTATCCAAGTCGTTCCTGCCACACATACCCGATATTCCACAAAAGAGGGCCGAGTACCGACCCCTGTGGAACACCGCGCACGACCGGGAACCGATGTATGACCCCACCGTGTCCGGTACACGTGACCGATCTGTCCTCCAAGTAGGAGCCGACCAGCCGGCGAAGGTAGAGGGGCACTCCGTGTCTTTCCAGCGCCCCCCCCTATCACGGACCAGGGCAGGGTGTTAAACGCATTGGCGATGTCGAGCGACACCGCCAAGGCCACCCCACCCCCACAGACGGCCTCCTCCGAGAGGGCCCGCACGCGAAGGATCGCGTCCACCGTTGAGCGGCCCTCTCGGAAGCCATACTGCTCCGCCGACAGATCGGGTCCCACCCCGATCAGATGCTGGATGATGCGGGCTGCCAGAATGCGTTCCAGCAGTTTGCCCACCTCATCCAACAACACGATGGGACGGNTTCGCATTTAAGTACAGTATGTCGGTACCATTTTGTTCGATAACTTTTTGCCATCTTGTAGGTAGGGACATGATCCCATTGCTATAGAAAATTTGGGGCTTCTGATCAAAATACCGCGACAATTGGTTTTGGCAGTCCTCTCGTGATGTTAACCTGACACTGCCTAAAGAATTCTGAAGAGACCGAAACAGGTAGAAATCTGAAGGTGCAAGGTAACACCTCCCAGCCAAGCTGTCTTAATTTTTGCTGAGTGGCTAAAGATGTGTGAGGTCTAGCGTTATCGTGATGAAAAACCACACCCCTTCTGTTGATTAATTCCGGCCGCTTTCTCTCAACTTCTTGCTTTAATCTCATCAGTTGTTCCCAGTAGAGTTCAGAATCGATGGTCCTGCCTGGTGGTAACAGCTCATAATGTATAATGCCCTTCCAATCCCACCACACACACAGCATCACCTTGTTGCGAGTTAACCCGGGTTTTGCCAGGAAGGCGATGCTCGACTTCTGCGAGTCTACCATCTCGCAGAAGGAGGCGGCGGAACGGGAGAGGGAGAGCTCTTCTTCCCTCTCGGCGCCGTGCCGCCGCCATCTGGCCGGGGGTCGGAGGAGGGCGTTTATCCAGCTCCAGCCCCTATGAGGAGGCAGTCTCCTCCCGGTGATGGTCACGGGGCGACCTAAGGGGGTTGAGGCTGCGCCGCACGCTACCGTCACTCTAGCGCGCTGGCACCAGGAGGACGGGACGGCGCGTCGGCGGCTGCGGACTGCGATGCGGTCCGCATTTTCGTCGTCGCTGTCGTCGCCGAACATACTGTTGAAGAGCANGTAGAGTTCATCCATACTACCTGGAGCCACTGCGGTCATCCACAGTGCGTTTCCAGAGGTCTTTTTTGCCACGTACCATCCGGCTATGGAATGAGCTCCCCTCCACGGTGTTTCCCGAGCGCTATGACATGTCCTTCTTCAAACGAGGCTTGTGGAGAGTATTAAGCGGTAGGCAGCGGCTTGGCTCTGCCCCTGGCATTGCTGAAGTCCATGGGCGACGGTAACCACTCACCATCAGGTGGGCCGTATGCTCGTCTGCCTACAAGGGCAATAAAAAAAAAAAAAAAAATAAATAAATAATAATAACTACTCTAAATAATTTATACTGGTGGTAGGACTTCTTGTGAGTCCGCGCGGGTAGGTACCACTGCCCTGCCTATTTCTGCCGTGAAGCAGTAATGCGTTTCGGTTTGAAGGGCGGGGCAGCCGTTGTAACTATACTGTGACCTTACAACTTATATCTCGAGGTGGGTAGCGCATATACGTTGTAGATGTCTATGGGCTCCAGTAATCACTTAACACCTTACTTAGCCTTTGCCTACACTTAACCTTTTAGGGGGCTGGGTGTACATCTTTTCAACAAGATCCCACAAAACGTTCAATTACTACCTGTTCATAGATTTAAGAAAACTGTCAAGGAACGTTTGTGCAATAAGGCATATTATAAAGTTAAGGATTATTTACTAGATGGCACTACGTGGGAATGAGGCGTTCGCTCCTGGCCTATTAATTTTTTTTTTTTTTTAACTGTATTTTTTGACTTGTTTTCTCGTTTATTGTAAATATTTTTACTTATTTAAATATATATATATATTTGAAAATAAATAAAAAAAAAGCCCGCTGAGTTTGTTTCTCCGGTTCTTCTCAGGACTGTGGCTTTTTTTGGAACCGGTGGTAGAGTTAACATTGTTATTTATATTTTGACATTCAACAAGTGTGTTATAATGACATCTAAGTTGAAATAAATGATTTTGAATTTGAATTTTGAATTTGAACCAGGTGGGCTGCGAGCTCGTCCACCCATCAAAAAAAAAACATATGTGAGTTACGTCACTGCATCAAATTAGGAAGCAGGATGGTCTAATGTCCTCCTACAATACCACTACGTTAGTTAACATGTGGCTGTCTTCTATAGTTCCTGCCAGGAGAGGGAGACGGAATAATGTAGTCGAAACGAGATGAATTAAAAAATAATAATTTAGTAATTTAAATTTTATTCTTTATTAACAAACAGCATTACAGTGTTGTACCTCAAGACAGTAATGATTTTATGGCACATTATCATAAGTATTTACGATCAGTTAATGATAAATTAACAACTTATTTAACCACAATTTTCTGTGACAAACCAAGTTGTGTTAGCCGTGTCATCCTCAACTATATAGGGCGTATTGTGGGCCCCACGGAACTGAAATATTCTGCCTACTTCTGCCGCAAAGTATTTATGCGTTCCGGTTAAGGAGAGCCGTTATAAAATACTATCTAGATTTATACCTCATTTGAGACATGTTTGGTCTAGTTATTCAATGGTCAAAGGGCCTAATTAACAATATTTTCGTTCTATTTAACTTGTCTCCCTTAATTATAATTTCGAATTACTTAAAGGATTATTTGACGATAACAAAAAATAACATAAATCCTTAAATTTAAAATCATGATCCTCGGTTAGACATTTGGACAATAAAAATTTAAAGAACTAATTTTTATTCTCTTTCTGTCGGCAGGCATGAAAATGACTATGTCAACTGCACCAACGATGAGCGCTCGCGTCCACAGGAAGGTGATGAGAGCGCCCCATAAGCGTGCCCATCCCGGCAAAACGCACTTCTCCGGGAAAATGGTACACGCCGGCAAAATGGCCCACCCGGGGAAACTGTCTCACTTGGGTAAATTCGGGAAGCTTGCCCACTATGCGCACACACACTCTCTGCGGCCTCCGGAGCCTTGCGAGAACAGTAACGACAGCGGCCTAGGGACCGATCCAGTCAACAGGTAATCTCTATCCCACACGCTTTTGTTATTGTCGCGCGCTCATGTTTCACGAAACGACATCGCTGGGTCGACAGAGGCACTGCAAATTAACACGACACTCAGATCTGAAAGCTTTTGTTGGATGGAGGAATTTGTTAATGGCCCGAAGGTCTTTTCTCCAGGTATCAGAGCTTAAAAATGTGTGTCATGCTAAAATCGCTTACACTAAAACTTATAACATGTTTTTTTTAAACGGGCCTGTTGATTCTGTACTAATTATTTAATTAGATTTTCAGTCAAAAATAAATATAATTGCATGTAGATTTCGTTATTGACATAATATCACTAAATAACTTTTATAATAATATTTCATAAGCTATGGATTGATAGTTTCAAATTGAAATTTACTATAAAAAAATTACCTATACCATTAAAAAAAAGCAGAAAATAATTAATTAATTAGACGAGGTCTCAATAATAAGTTTTTTTATATGTCTCGTACACCAACAATAGTTGTTTTTGCATTTAGTCAGTTTATTAGTGAATCAATCAAACGAAGATTCGTCTAGAATGTTCTCATAATGTTAGCTGTTGAACACTAACGCATGTATTTGGTTCGTGCTTTGTGAATTAACATAAAAAATACTAATTCCATCCTAGAGTATGAACTAATACTGAATGTATTCACTTTAATTCAAATAAGGTATTTTTTGTCACTAATAAATACTCGCTAATTCGATTTGCCTCATCTTTCATTAAAGGGATACTATAAAAAAAATCACATTGAATTTTCAGCAATAATCATTAATGATCACCGCGGTTCGCCATTAGCGGCGAATCCTTAGCCACCTATGATTGATCATGATGATGATGATGATAAGATTGATCATGATGTCATTAAACTGTTATGCACACTACGTTTTTATTCCGATTTATTTGTATGCATTCAATTAATGAATACAACATAATTAAAAAGTACAATTACCTTCACTGTGAAATGCGTTTAATGTTCCCTTGTCTCAGGCCCGTCGTCCGCTGACGTCGTATTATTCAAATATATTTGTATTTATTTGATGGTTACTGTGGAATTGATAATTACGTGCGGTGTGTTAACAATTTGACACGGTCTCGGGCGGCGAAAGATCACCCGTGTTCACGAAAACTGTATACAGTATATACGAGACATCGGATATTGTAAAATTTATAAATAGACGGCCAGATGATACGGTATACGGTAATAATTCAGTGTTTACACGTTTTAAATAATCGTCTTTTATATACGTTTAAAATAATTGTCTTGACTGACTGTAGATACTAGATGGTCCATGTTCGTTTCCCGGTCGAAGTCTGAATATCTTTGTCAAAGATATTTTGTATTTGGGGTGTGCGCACAATAAGTAATACTTGTCTTTATTTTTTATTACTTCGATAATCATTTGGGGTTTAAATGAAGAGCTCATGGCCGACCTGGTGTTGAGTGGTCAATGAAGCCTATAGACGTTAACAACGTAAAAGCCACCACCCAAGTTAAGGCATCAGTTATAAGTCTCAATTTTATAGTACAAGACTTGCCACACTCTTCAAACCGAAACGCATTACTGCTTCACGGCAGAAATAGGCTGGGCAGTGGGAACTACCCATGTTGGTTCACAAAATCTCCAAGTGTCTTCAGAAGAAGGCCGTTCGAATTGTTGATAATCGCATTCTCACGGATCGTTTGGAACCCCTGGGTCTGCGGAGGAACTTCGGTTCTCTCTGTATTTTGTACCGTATGTTCCATGGGGAGTGCTCTGAGGAATTGGTTAAGATGATCCCGACATCTCATTTTTACTATCGCATCGCCCGCCACCGGAGTAGAGTTCATTCATACTACCTGGAGCCACTTCGTCCATCCGCAGAGCTTTTCCAGAAATCTTTTTTGTCTGTACCATCCGGCTTTGAAATGAGCTCCCCTCCACGGTGTTTCCCGAGCGCTATCACATGTCCTTCTTCAAACGAGACTTCTGGAGAGTACTAACGGTACGTAACGGCTTGGCTCTGCCACTGGCATTGCTGAAGTCCATGGCCGACGGGGACCAATCACTATCAGGTGGGCCGTGTGCTCGTCTGGTTACAAGGGCAATAAAAAATATAAAAAAAGAAGATCCCTATCACCAATAATTAGGCAAATTATAATTTTTGCGGGCTTGGTTTTATTACCCAATGTGCTTCCGTAATACATACAGGTGAATATCCTAACTGAAGGGACCTTGAATGCTGATTATTTTAAATTACAAGTTTTATCTGTATGTACCTGTTACATGTAGGTATTCATGTGCTACAGTAAAATGGAGCAGCTTAAACTTTAAAATTTTAAAACGTTTTAACCATTCTTGGACCTTTCAGTAAAATAAATAATCGGGAACAAATCATCTAAATTATTCTAGCTAGCGGTCAGATGACCTCATCTTAGTCATCTGGCCCAAAACTGGATTCCCTGTACTATTGGAACTAGAGACTGGTAGTATTTTATATACGTTTAAATGTATTCATTATAGATATTAAACACAGAGACAAACAAACCTATTGATCACACGAATCTGGGAGTCCTTAGTAGGTAGGGGCGCTAACTACAGTACTGGTAGTTCTATTACATTTCGCACGGGACAAGAACCATCAAAACTCTAAATCAAGGATCAAATGCAAGGCTTTTTAATTTTTTTTTATTGCTTAGGTGGGTGGACGAGTTCACAGCTCACTTGGTGTTAAGTGTTTTGGAGCCCATAGACATCTACGACGTAAATACGCAACCCACCTTGAGATATAACTTCTAAGGTCTCAAGTATAGTTACAACGGCTGCCCCGCCCTTCAAACCGAAACGCATTACTGCTTCACGGCAGAAATAGCCAGGGTGGTGGTACCTACCTGCGTGGACTCACAAGAGGTGCTACCACCAGTAAAGTGTCGTTTAAGTGTCTATAAAAAACTATTTATAGTTGTAAAATTAAATCTAGAAGTATGAACCGAGAGTGATTTTTACGCGAATTCTCTGGTCGACCTTCAAGGCACGTTCAATTTTAGATAAACTCGACCGACGGTTACACAATTACGTGTCAGTGTCTAACGCATCACGCACACGCTAAAGTCTGTTATCGAGCCGTTCGTGAAAACATGTTTGGTACACAAGACAAAGTCTGCCCGAGGATCGATCCGTGGTTTTTTGCGTAATGATTCGTGCGGGGCATTAGACTTGATAGAATATGAAGACGCAGACCTCGCCATATGCACAGTTCTGGAAGGATGCTTTAAAAACAACGGTATCTTGGGAAGTTGCGTTGGTGACAGCATCGCGCCGGTCTGAAGTGGCCAGACCAGACCAGAGTGACCTTTATGTCTTTAGCTAAATTATCGGTCCCTTCCTATAAACTTAAATCCCTAAAAGTCATGCCATGTAAAGGTCGCTCGGTGTGCTCGTACCGACTGAGGTCTGTGTCGTGGTCCCATGGAACTGCTTTTGCTTTTTTTTTAAATAACATCCTGCCTAGAAGTAGTGATGCATTCCAGTTTGACGAACAGATCAAAGTCTTAATTCGTTGTAATGAAGTGGAATCATTGTTCAATGAGTTTTAAAAAACTGGACACCTGGACATTGTGCCCCTATATCTCTAGATTACTTTAAACAGTTTGAACATGTCTATACCGAACTAACCAGAGGGCTACACCCGCATTAGCTTTATGTGTTGCACGTATGTTATGTTATATGGATGCTTTTTTAGTTACGCCGCAGTTTTAAAAAAACGAACCAATTTTGTTTTCCTTTTGTGATTCGATCATGAACTATGTTCACATTTAAGTCATCAGGAAATCAGTCACGAAATTCTACATGAACAAATTTTGTCTGAAGCGCAACTAAAAACGTGGTAAATTAAAGCACAATAAAAAGTGTTCGACGAATGTTTTATAACAACCGTCTATTCAGGCCTGTTTTATATCATTGTTGGGAATGTCCAAGAGTTGCATGTGAGATGAAAAAAATACTACGAGATTTTTTATTAAAGAAAAATGTTTTTAGTTGGCTTCTTTTTTGAGGCGAGCAAAAAGACAGTAGCGAGGAAATTAATCTAAAATAAAATTAGAGGCCCGCTAGCCAAAGATACCTACGCAGTGGTTGCATGAAATCCGAACTGTCAATCGAATTGAAATACTGAATCTTCGATCCTTCCAATTATTTGCAGCGTCTAAATTATAATTAGAGGGAGCGTTATGATGTCAGCTACAAGTGATAGTAGTATGACCTCATCTGGTTTTAAATAATAATCCGGATAATAATTAAATATCCGGGCTACTAGATCAAGGAGGATCTTATCACGATGCTTACGTGGCTATCAAACTCGGATAAAGTCTTCAGATGATACGAATGTATCGTGCAGGCCACGTGGTAATTAATATGATTCACACAACTTGCTTGTCTCCGTACCAACTCAATGAACTAAAACTATGTATCTAATGCTTAGATTAGCTGTTATTTTTGCGCGCATTGTTAGGTTTGTAATTATGATGCCTATCAAATCGAAGACTTATCATTATGGTTTTAGTGCTTTATTTGTTTTGTCAGCGTGCATTGCCATATTTGGGTTGGTACAGATTTTATACGGCATTTGCTCGTTCATTAGACAAGCTACCTTAGCTAAGGCGGTGTACGTCTCACAAAATTTACACCAAAACCACAAATTTCTATCTCACCTTGATAGTGCAGCATTATCAGGGTATATTAACATGAGCTGTAACGACTGGTGTGCAGATTGTCGGACACTGTGGAGGACTGGGAACATCCGGAGTTGAAACGGCATCGCGGCGAGTCGGAGATGCCCGTTAAGATCGAATGCGACAACGCTACCGATGCTTACGCGTTCGTCCCTCCCGGAGTCCAGCCCGCCGGAGTGCAGCCAGCATCAGCACTACCAGTCCCCGTGTATGTTGACGCCACTAATACAATCACTACTCACACAAAAAAACACGACGTATGTGACGTCAATGTACCAAGTAAATCCCAACGTTCAATTAGAACGCGGAAGCAAAAATCTATAGATTAAGTTTAATTTTAAAACTAACAAAAATAATAACTGATCGTTTCTTGTGCTCGATCACGAACACTAATCCTGTAAAAAGAAGCATGCTCATTGCACGTAATTGCGTATGACCGAAGCATTATTTACCGAAGGCATCGCATCCTCACCATAACGCTTGCCTCTTTGAAATATGTTTTAAAAATTTAATGATTGTTCGATTGAATGAAAACATATTACAAGAAACTTACATTACGCTTTAATTTTGAAGATTAATAATTCATGGTGCGTTTAATTATATCTTTAGTCATGGCCCCGACGAACATTATGGCTCATTCGCATGTATCGCTTTATTACAGAATAAGGCCCGGCTGCAGCATATCTAGTCCAAACATCACCGAGTCGCCAGGGAAGAGGTTTCAAGATCCGTATAGGTCTTGTGGAAAACTCGGCAGTGGAGGGAAACTAGCTAATAAGTATCCCGGGGGAGGAAAGCTAGCCGGACCGGGGGGGAAACTTGGAGGCAAATTAGCCGGGAAATACGGAGGGAAGTTAGCACAGGCCATGGCGAGGCGGAGGGCGCTGGCTGCCATGACACAGACCGGACCGCCGGGCCTCGCCGCTCCACTCACCAACAAATCTAGGGACGGCACTGTGGAGCTACAGATACTGTGCCAGCCTGAAACTCAACACAGAGCGAGGTCAGTATCTTATTATCTTCTCTTCTCTCTATATATAAAAATGAATTGCTGTTCGTTAGTCTCGCTAAAACTCGAGAACGGCTGAACCGATTTGGCGAATTTTGGTCTTGAATTATTTGTGGAAGTCCAAAGAAGGCTTAAAAGGTAGATAAATATGAAAATTGCTCGGAATTAAATAAAAATAACAATTTTTTTTCCCTTTGATGTGGCCCCCGTCGGACCGATTCCTTTTGTTTGTTTTAAGTTCATTCTATACAAAAGTTTACAAACAAATACCCCGTTCTTAAATACCATATTATTCCGAAATTGAAAAAGATTATTTGTAAATAATAAAGAAATCCAGGGAAATACATATCTGCGTGAAATAAAACCATGTTCGGTACCAAAACATGTTTTATTGGTTTTTAGATATCAGACTGAAGGCAGCCGGGGAGCCGTCAAAGATAACTCCGGGACCGGTTTTCCGATGGTCAAATTAGTTGGCTACGATAAGCCGGCCGTATTACAGGTGAGATTAAATTAAATGAATTTTTTACCGTTAGGCGGTAGATTTTTGTCTATTTCTGCCGTGAAGCAATAATGCGTTTCGGTTTGAAGGGTGGGGCAGCCGTTGTATGTAACAACTGAGACCTTAGAACTCGTGTTTCAGGGTGTATGACTGCATTTACGTTGTTGATGTCTATGGGCTGCTGCTTTAACCACTTAACAGGTGGTGAGCTCGTTCACCCATCTAAGCAATAAAAAAATATAGATATGTATGTGTCACATTGACCTTAGTGTAAGCCTTAGTGCGATAAAAACTGTGCAATTGTAGGCATTTCAAATGTCTAAATGGAATGTAAAGATCTCGTTTCAATCATTCTACCTTTCCGTTGTCGTGTGTTTAATATGTATGTATAATAATGGACTCTCTGAATACACTTTGAATATGACCTCTGTCGTCCAATTTGCGACGTTCTAGACTGAATTACTTTGAATAAACAGCTACCCTACCTTCGTTCAGATTCACAATAGGCAGGATTGTGCAATATGAATGTTTTAGAACATCAATCGATTGAAAGTTCAGAAATAGGTGCGTGCCTAAATTATTTCAGTTTTAGCATACGCAACGTGACGTATTCGTACCTATTGTCTGTGACATAAGCAACGAACCAACCGTATTCGCTTATGTTTTCTTAACCCCTTGACTGCCATATAGATTCCTTACGTGACGCACTGAAGTAACTTTGTCGATTTCTGTTACTAAGGCGCCTGGATGGCCTAACTTTGCCTTCTTTTGTTTGTCAATGGATGTTTTAGTCTTTTATATCTTTTAGTGATAGATTCATTCTCAGTATCTTCAGATTCGTCTTTCGCAGAGTCTACTAAATATTCCGATGATTTATTAATGCTGGGCCTACATTGGCAGGCGAAGATTCGTGTTGCGGTGGTGCGCTAAAAACATGGCGTGCGGGCATTCATACGCAATGTTCTTGTCTACATTGCGCTTGGCTAAGATTTGTGTCGTCGTGTGATACGTCGTGCGGGTTGTGTTTGCTGTATGCTGTGCGACAGAGACGTAATTTAAATACAATTGAATGAATTCTAACACTTTTTTGTTACTCCACTCTATGGTGTACAAGAAAACAAGCACGTTCGTACCGTATCACAGTCTGGACGACACTGAAGTGACGTAGGGTAGCCACTAGCCACCCAAACGAATATTGTCGCGATAAATCCCTTTGATACTTCGTCTTCGCCTAAAATACTACGCGCTGCAACGATCTACACGATCACACTCATCGCAATAACACGAATATTCGCCGTAACCTGTTAATGTCCGCCAGCAAAACAGAAATCGACATAATTGCTTTATTACGTCGCGTAGGGCACCGGTAACCTACATGGCAGTAAACGTGTTAATCACTACATAGTATAAAACAAAGTCGTTTTCTCTGTCCCTATGTATGCTTAAATCTTTAAAACTACGCAACGGATTTTGATGCGGTTTTTTTTAATAGATAGAGTGATTGAAGAGGAAGGTTTATATGCATAATAACATCCATTAAATAGTGGAGAAATCAATAATAAATTACAGCTTCCGAAGCGAAGCGAGGGCGGGTCGCTAGTCACTCATAAAATAAAGAGTATTTTGATAATATTTGCATTGATTTCCAGGTATTTATAGGTACAGACACAGGACGAGTGCAACCTCACATGTTCTACCAGGCCTGCCGCGTCTCCGGGAAGAACTCGACGCCGTGCAAGGAGCGGAAGGAAGACGGAACTGTTATCATAGAGATAGACTTGGAGCCGGCCAAGGACTGGAAGGTCACGTGCGACTGCGTTGGTATACTCAAGGTAAGAGAACTTGAAGAGTCGTTTTATTGTTGACTTTGATCTAGATCTTAATTGATTAAGAAGGTAAATGAAGGTAAATCCTGTCTGTACCATAAAGGATCCATTCAATGTCATTACATTTGATTAGTCTGATTGAAGCTCTCATTAATTATTGGAAATAAAAACATAGCAATGGACACGTAAATCTTGATCACTTAGTAATGTAATTATAAGGGTTATAATATATTAATACTCGAATCCCCCGGGGGTTAACGGCGACCGTCGCCCATGGGCATCGGCGGTAACAGGAGCACCCCACAGCAGCTCATCTTCGTTAAAGCTTGTTTGAAATTTGTTACGAAGAATGAGATATCATGGTGCTAATCGAAACATCGGAAGTTTACTGGATGGTTTATCTGGAACGTGGTACTTGTTGGTGTTGAAATGATTAATTTCGTAAATTTATGTTTGCGACGTTTCCAGGAGCGCAACGTGGACGTGGAGCACCGCTTCGGCGAGGCTCTGGGCGGCGTGGGGAGCGTGGGAAGCGTGGGGGGCGTGGGGAGCGTGGGGGCGGTGAGCAGCGCCAGCCACGTGTCCCGCGGCAAGAAAAAGTCGACGCGATGCCGCATGGTGTTCCGCACCGACATCATCAACGCCGCAGGACACCGGGAGACGCTACAGGTCTGCTCCACGCAGATCATATGCAGTGAGTATTATCACGAATGACTTGAAACTTGGTAAAGCTGTGGTGGACATTACGAGTGTCGTGTCTTCAGCATTTTCTTAAAGTTAGAGCGACGCGTGATCGTCTTCAATGTTTTTTCAAGCTCAGTTGATACAGCAATTAACATTGAATAATTTGTGATGCCCCTTTCAATTCTATGGTATTCCACAGCGCAACCGCCGGGCGTACCAGAGGTGTGCCGAAAGTCACTAGTCTCGTGTCCGGCCACCGGAGGCCTGGAACTATACCTACTCGGCAAGAACTTCCTCAAGGAGACCAAGGTGGTGTTTTGTCAGAGGCACGAGGGTCGCACGACTTGGGAGGAAGAAGTCACGCCTGACAAAGAATTTTTGCAACAGGTATGTATCGAATGATTTGTGATTGTTGTGTGATGAATGTTTTGAATGAAAACGGAATTATGCTTAGATAGGAATACACAATGTGTGAACTCTTCGCGGGGCTGAGAAAGAAATAGTAAACAATGTGTCTTAATAACTGCCTTAGTATTATTTTGCTAAACTAAACATAAATATTGCGTATTTAGTACAAACTAGTGGTTCGCCCAATGATCGAATTTCGACTACAATCACTGCTATCTCAAGATTTAAGATTAACTTATTGTGTATTCTCTTTTGTTTCGTTGTTTCTTTTCCTATATATAAATATTAAAAAAAATCTCATAATATAAAAAAAATCATATTTAAAAAAATAAAGACATGCCCGCTGAGTTTCTTGCCAATTCTTCTCAGAACGGAGGCTAGTTCTTGTGAGTTGGCGATAGTTCTTTTAACGTTCAACAAGTATGTACTTTCATTTACGTAGAATAAAATTTTTTTGATTTGATCTGATTTGATTTGATATAAAGTTGAAAAAATAATATTTAAAAATAAAAAATCGAAAACGAAGGTAGTTTCAAGACCCTCCCGCGCCACATGAGGTCATTGACTTCACGCGTTGACGTATCTCAATTGTCACATCGCGTGCTATATAGTGCTTTTCAAATAAGAATGTGCACGTCAATGACCTTGATCTGTCAAAGTTCGATATAAAAGTATGGACAGCAACAAAGAAAATGTTGTTTTCTTTTTTGTTATTGAATTTTTTGCCTAATTATGAAGACTATTAATAAATATTCGTTTTAATGAACCATACACACTTACATAATTGTCTTGAAATGTTTAAATAAATAAAAAAACACCTATTTAAAAATCAAGGCCGTAACACTGTCGGGCCCTATAATTTATGGATGGACAATGATGATGATTACTCAAGCAGTGGGATGAGTGGAATCGGCAAACTCGATGATTTATATTATAAATAAATATTAAAAAATTCGTACCTATTTTTACTGACTACCTTTTTTTTTTCGATTTGACATTTTTGTCACAATATGGCGCAGGTCCATGCACATTCCTATTTGAAACGCATTTGAGATTATTTGTCATTATTACGAGTCTTCGGTGTTGCCGCCTGGTTTTTGTTTTAAGGAGTCAGTCAGGTTAGTATCACCGTGACCAGCGCCGAGTTGACACGAGTGTGTTGTTCTCAGACGCACCTGGTGTGTTGCGTGCCGGCGTACGGTCGACAGGACCTGAGCGAGGCGGTCGCGGTGCAGCTGTTCGTGAGGTCGGGCGGCAAGGCGTCGGAGCCGCACTGCTTCTACTACACGCCGTCCGCCCTCGACACGGGCCCCCTACATTGCTCGCGCCATCACTCGCAAGGTAACGCCCGCCAGCCCTACCCCCCCACCCGCTTCGGTACTGTCCGCCCGTCACCGGGGACACCATGTCGGTGTTGCGAGATTCGTCTCCGTTTTTGTTTTTCCAAATTTTTTAAATCGTGTTATGGCTTAAAGGTCTCGTTACCAGGCCATAAAATCAAAAAAAAAAATTAAATCGTGTCACCAAATCACATGTGTCAACGTCAAACGTACGTCAAACGAACTGCCATGTTTATTTTCAAGTCGTAGTTCGATTTTTAATTTATAGAAACGGAAACGACAGACGCTTCTCTAAATGTCATTGTTACCCTCACGAACATGTTAGTGAAGAGCATGTGAACTAAGATGTCCGCTTCTCCATGTGCCGATGGAATACAAAATTGCTGATGATACGGTGCCCGGATGTTTGATTGGTGTATTTATTTATCTAAATGTCGTAGCTTACCGTGAGGCCAAACGTCATACGTAAGCCAATGTTATTTATACAAAAATAGCTTGCACTACAGTACAATCATAGATTAAGTAGTAACAAAAAAGTATATAGAAGTTAAATAATTCAAATTTTCTTTGTCTATGGTCGAACATTCAAATAGCATTGTTGAACAATTTTGGCTTCATTTTTCATCACTTTTTTGCTTTTCACCTTAATTAGCGACATTGAGACATTAATGTAACCGAATTTATTAATTTTATGAACAGAAAAAAAAAACATGAACTTTCTCAATCTCGCTGATATTGTAAAAATAAGTGCTAATTTTACACTAACACATATTTAAAAGAAATATTTTGGTCGTTTCATCACAGCTTTTTTTAAATCTATAGAGAAGCGATGAACTGCTACTCGTCCTGCGCATTAACACTGATTTATATCAAGATCGATTTAATGTTGCGAAATTAACACTTATCTCAATTGTATCATAGAGTTCATTATTACATAACAACAGATTGATTTCAACCGAATCGATCCTGTTAATAGCATGACATGTTGTCCAGTTCGAATGTGCATCCTATGTTTTAAACTAAGCATATTAGTTAACTAACAATAAATATATACATACAAGCTTTGGTTGACGGCACCCGCGCAATGCTTTCAATGGTTGTAGTGTCTGCATGATTTTCTTTATTTTTATTTTAAATAAGTTACATATCAATATATATATTTATGAGCAACAAGTTTTTGGAAGAAATGACTGATGCGTAAACGGCGTACTCTCTCTTTTTTTCCTTTTTGTTCAAGCTAGGTCTGTCTAGGTAGCGACCACAGCCGAGCGCCGCCGCTGCCCGCTGACCCGCGCCAGCACGGTATTGACACGCACGCATACGCACACTACGCACCGACACACTACAAGCCGACAAACTACACACCGACACACTTCAAGCCGACCAACTACACACCCACACACTTCAAGCCGACATACTACACACCGACACACTACAAGCCGACAAACTACACACCGACACACTACAAGCCGATAAACTACATACCAACACACTTCAAGCCGACAAACTACACACCGACACACTACAAGCCGACAAACTACACACCGACACACTACAAGCCGACAAACTACACACCGACACACTGCACACCGACACGCTACGCACCGACACACTACACACCGACGCACTGTCGATAACACTAATACAACAAAATATATATCTAGCTTCACTTGTATTCTATTAAAGTAAAAAAAAAACTGTCATATTACATAATAGTAATTTTTTGTTGATTGTCTTACATAATATTGAGTTATATTTAAAAAAAAACGTGACATTGAATATCAATTGTTTTAAAAAATACGTGTATTCATAATGTATTTATAAAATAAGTTTTGATCACATATACATTCGACAGTGCAACATACTCACGCAATTACACTCATCTTATCTTTACAATAAAAACAATACAGCATCAAAGAGAAATGCATTTTTTTTAACAAAAAGTAAATTTCGATTATCCCGTTTATTTTGGATATTTCCATAATAAATCGACAAAAGCACTTCAACGTATAATTTTATAAATAAACCAAATTTTTTAAGTTTATAAATTTTAGTAAGCTTAAATTAAAAATAAATAATGGATATCTAAAGAAAATTGATTTAATATTTACCAAAAAAAAAAATTTTTACCTGTTTTAAAAAAATAACGCCTAGTTTGACGGTGCCCAAAGGTGTCAAAATAATTAATAATAATAAATACCCTTCGTCAGATGTGGCTGAACGGGTTTTTATTGAAACTAAATGTGAAATACAAGAATATCTTTGAAATAAAATACAATTTTTGTAACTTTCCCGGGTGGGTCTTTGTGAATAAATAAAAATACAAATTCAAATTTTATTCATAAAATTATAGTTAAAAAAAAACAATAATCCACTTTTACAGAGAGCTATATAACTACCCACCGACACAACACATCGATTCCAGGTTGAAACTGCACATAACCTCCCAACATCTAGCTAGAAATTAATCGTGCTTCACTCTATTTGAACCCCCTTGGAAGCGTATCTCCACTTAAGGTGCTTTCTAAGGTTGCCTAACAATCATGAACCGTACAGTTTTAAACTTCAGTCCATTTTACTGCGAACTGTAAATACAATAAGGAACTTCGTTCCAAAAAAAAATCAAAAATTTCCTTTAAAATGAGTGACACGATTAAATTATTTTTAAAAAAAAAAACGATAATGAGAATTAAACGAAAAGAAACTTTAAATCATAACAGAATAGAGTTTGGCATTTTGCCTTAAAAATTCAAAAAATTAAGAGTTTGTTCCAATTTATTTATATCGGTAATAATTTATTTAAGAATTTATTTATTTAAAGACAACATTGAATTTTATGTTATCTTGGTCCTTATTCTATTTTACAAGGTGTAAAATGGAAAAGCAACAATATCAATTACAAATGAAGAAAGGTTTTTTTTTTAACTATAAAGCAGAAGAGCTAGAAATTAGCTACTGCATTAATACATGTTACAATTTACAGGGCTAATAATTATGTTTCAGTGTCAATGATTCTACAAATAACATTAGAGTGTCAATCATTGGTAAAGAATTATAAAAATTGTAAATGCCAATGAATTATAAAAAAACTGTTCTCGACATAAATTAAGGCATGGTTGTATTCATATTGTTTTAACTATAATAATTTTTCATTTCATCTATGTTTATATATTTGACTTAGGGTTTCTGATTTCAGATATATTTTTTTCCGATTAAATACAATAATGTACATAATAATTATACATTATGATGCAGTTATAATATTGTCTTCGTTTTATATGAATGATTTTCCAACGCGATTCAAAAAATCAAATTTAAACCAAATTAAATCATTGTTATGTGAAACCAGGGTTTCATGTAATTGAACAATGTTAATCATTATTATTATTATTAAGAAGACGTATTACAAAAACTAAATTTGAAAAAAATAAAATTGAAAAAAATAAATTGGAAATGCTCAAGCACCTAAATCCTAAGTGGAGGTACGCTGGTGAGGCACAAGCACGGAGTTAGGGCTGCCACACTTGGGAACATGGGTTACAGCTTTGTGTTGCGTGCAACAGGTGGCGAGGAGGCGCGGCCGGTGCTCATGTGGGGCGCTATGCCGCCGCCCGCCCTGCCCGTGCGCAGACCCTCCGTCATCCTGCCAGACCCACACTCGCCTCTCGGACTCAAGAGTGAGGTAAATAGTTCATACAAGGACTGCGTTCAGTTTCCGAACGCAAAACTGTCAGCGCGCGACATCCGCCATAACACCAATCTCTTTACAAATCCAGTCGCCAAGAGCAATGCCTAAATTTTATAGTCTCTCTTATATTAAGTCGTTAATTCGTCATATAAAGGTACAATAAATATCTCATACCAAAAATACAGTGCACGCTCAATTGCCACAATGCGACAGCTTTATTTTCTCTTGACAAATTTCGAACCAAATGGTTCGAAATTTTTATAAACACTCGATAATTCGTAATGTTCTAAGTGTCTCTCGAGTTTCGAATTAACGAGAGTCGACTGTATTCTATAAAAGGCATCTGAGCAAGCAACATATAGCCGAATTAGATAGGCCATTTAAATCGAAAGGTAAATTTTGGCAATACAGGTGCATTAGCGCTTTAGCTACTCCTTGCTATTACCCCTAGCTTTACCTATAGTGAAACGATTAAAAAGAAGAAAGCTACTCGGAGAATGTTTATTAGATGTGCTAATTTTTTCAATGTATTTTTTGTGTTACCCTATCTATAAACCACCCGATCCGAAACACGTGACAACGTGTTTTGAGTGGGGGCTCTTTGGGTAATAGTTTCTTGTAGCTCTGATTCTTTTTTTGCTTAGATGTGTGGACGAGCTCACGGCCCACCGTACGTTAAGTAGTTACCGGAGCCCATAGACATCTACAACGTAAATGCCGCCACCTACCTTGAGTCATGACTTGTAAGGTCTCAGTTTTAGCAGTAAAACAGCTGCCCCACTCTTCAAACCAAAACACATTACTGCTTCATGGCAGAAATAGGCATGGTGGTGGTACCTACCTGCGCGGACTCACAAGACGTCCTCCCATCAGTAATTACGCAATTTGATTGTTATACGCTGGTGATTTCCGTTACCAGGTGATGGACGAGACCAGCCAGCACTCCGTGGTCGATCACACAGACGCTTCCTGTGGGCCTGAGGGACCTGAAAAGACCTCCACTGGTAACATTAGTGACGATCTGAAGGTCGTCGATCTGAGACTCAAGTCTGAGAATATGTCGCTCGACGCACAGGCCCAGGTAACCGCATCATAATATTCCAAATCGAAACTAAACTGTTTCGTGTAGTTACTTAAAGCTAACGATGAAAATTTTGTTTCCTTGTTAAATTAGATGAGCTTCGTGAGCAGTTATGACTCGATGAAATTGTCGCCGGCCACCCCCAGCCAGGGAGAGTCGCCGACCTCTATCGTTTCGTTTACTCAGCAACTGCAAGCCATCCAGACCCAGGCTCAGACCGACAAGATGGTAGAGTCCGTCACCGCGGCCTTGTTCAACACTGACGAAAACTCCGGTCCGATATACCCGCAGATGTTACCGATGTCCACTATGGAATCAATGAGGCATCTCATCTCTTCTAAAAACAACATGGATCCTTTAGGAACCGAATTGAAGGTCCTCAACCCCGAGCTAATGATCACGGATACTGCGATGCAGTCGACCGTGCTGCAGACCGCTAACGAGCAACGACTCATGGTCTACAACCAGATGACATCCGGCCGAGCCGAAGAGAGATTCAACCCCTTTGGAAATATGACCAAGCTCGAGATGGAAACCTCCTCGGCGATATCGCAACAGAACGCACAGATGGAGGCGCTAGTCGAGGACGCTATGAAGGCCACCGCGGCAATGCTGCCTGCCGACGCGGCCAAGCTAGACGAGCTAGTCAACTCTCGCGTGGACGACCATTTGTCGGCGTCGTCCGCCTCGCCATCGGGTGGGTCCCACGCTTCCGACGTCCTGCTGAGTCCGGGCGCCGGGGTGGTGACGCGGGGACCGGCCGCCGATCTGTTGCCCTCCGCCGCCATCTCGCCCGACGTCATCCTCAACCCACAAGTGTCACCCAGCATGCTATGCGACGCCAATCAGCACATGGTGATGCCGACCGGAACAGCACCCGAAGACCTCATGATGCTGCCGGAACAGATGCAGCTCACATCCGTGAAGACTCCACCGGCGGCCGTCAAATCTATGATCTTGAACGCGGCCGCAGAGATCCTGACCTCGGACACGACGATGAACGCGCTCGTGAAGTCAGCCATCAACACGGCCAACATCCTGACGACGGAGAGCGCGGCCGAGCAGCCGCCCGCCGAGCCCGCCCCGGAGGCGCCGCTGGTGGCCATGTCGCAGGCCGTGTCGCAAGCCGTGACGCAGGCCGTGTCGCAGGCCGTGTCGCAGGCGGTGTCGCAGGCCGTGTCGCATGAGATGACGGCGCCGGTGCAGGGCCTCACGGACATGAGCGACCAGGACCTGCTCTCCTACATCAACACGAGCACCTTCGACCAGGGTGAGTACATGGACATCTACTACGATTGATTCGTTTATTAATCATTCTAATAACAACTGCTCAATTTTGTAGTGTCTTTATATTTTGATAAATAAATACCAAGTGATCGAGTCCAAATAAAAATATCTCCAAATATTATTTTTTGTAAATAAAATATATTAAAAATAAAACATAATTTGATCCTATGTAATTTTTTTCATACTATAATTTTTTTAATTATTGTGAATTTTGTTAATAGTTAAGTAAAGTTATCGATTTTAAGTGAGCTTTAATTAGACTAAATGATAAATTAATGATATTTTTGTTTCTTGCAGTGTAAGTCGCTCGCGCTCGGCTCTATGCCGCGGTATATCTCGGGATCGATCCGTCGACTATTAGTGTCGGTTTGCGCCGATCTAAATGCATTTCTCTATATGTGATGTGTGAGGGCTCAAATGCAGTTTTTATGTGAATTTTTAATGGATGTTAAACGTTAAATAGGTTTACTGTAGAAAGAACACTATAATCTCGTGAACTGTCGAGGTATGCACGAGTCACGTGTGCGATGTGAATCATGATTCTCAAATTATTTTTTATTGTATTTTAGTTTATATGACTAAAATTATGTTTTAGTGAGGTCAATTACGACGTACTTCTTCATGTGAGTCAGTATTACAGGGCTAATACGTTTTTTTTTTATATTTGCGTGATAGTTTGGGAACAGCTGGAAATTGATGGCGGATATCCAGCGAAATATCGTTATCTGTAAACAGTAAATTTAAATACTGTAGATTTGTTTTAAACAATATACTTTGTATTTATGGACACGTAGTCATACACATATGTACGACAAATTGTTTTGAATTGATTTTCAATTAAGTTTTTGTTTCGGTGGTTCCCAACCTATCGCGTATAAAAGCAGAATATGTATTTTGAAAATGAACGTGTTATAGTTATATTAATGAAAAATATTGAATGTTGATTGATGTATGTGTATTTGTTGGTGCGTTATATGTTTGTTTTGGAGTTTTTGTAAATATCTGCATAGCTTTGTATTTATGTTTTTTTTTTTTTTAGTTTTAAGTGAAGTTAGGTTCCGATTCAATAAGTAATCTGTTAATTCGTTAGAACGGTACCCGTCGATGCGGACATATGAAATCCCAAAAATATTGAAAGTGCGTGAGAAATAAAAAGTCGGTCTGTATGCTTAGTGCGAGTTTTTTACCGTTCTCGATAGCGTAAAAATTACCCAATTTTGTATGCAGTTGGAACAGCGCCCCTAGCGGCAAACGTACGCAATTTTTTTTTTTTCTACCTATGCTGATAGCCTTGAGAGGTTATTTCAGCTTTGCCCTAACGTTTGTAGGTGAGCTCGCGGGGCTCAACCGGAGAGTTGCTAACACTGACCCTAGCAAGAGCAGTGCTTCGCAGAATCTACCACCGGATCGGAAACGCGACCCACTGAGAAGATCCGGCGAAAAACCCAGTGGGCTGTGTCTATGGGTTAGTTCGCTCGTCGAGCCCTTCGTCGCAAGCGACGGGTTCGACGAGAAAGGTGACCGGTGCTTGTGGTGCCTAAAAGCACCGTTAGTGGATCAGGAGGATCCGTAATGACGTGCAACGTACGCAATCGATCCCATTCCATACAAATATGAGCTAACTTTTACGCTATCGAGAACGTTAAAAAACTCGCACTAAGCACACTGTTTGTTATATTAGCGCATAAAAACTGTCGATTCACATTATCAAGATGTGTGTAATGAGCATTATTGGAATTCGCGATAATTTCGACGCGTTTGTACACGCCTTCAGTTTAGTTTCACTCAAACTAAATGTTAGACTGAACTACATTTTATGTTTTTTTTTTAATCCGATATATTATATCGATTATATCTATAGTCTATCCTTTACGTATAAAATATGAATTTAGAATTAAAATGTCTCTATTGACAACTTGATAAAATGTAGTTCCGTATAAACAAACAGAACGCTTGGATCGACACGATCCGCCTCCCATCATATTCATCCAGAACTAAGTCTGGCAAAATTATAAAGACGCGTGCGTGGATTATCTTTATTCTTTATTGTACACACAGTTAATACAATATAATAATTGCGAAAAGATATAAAATGGCGAGCTTAACTCAACAATTGAGTTATCTACCAGCTAACCGTTCTTAAAGAGGGAGAGCTTTATATAAGTGGGTAGAAGAGTACAATCTAATCAATCATTTTCGTCAATCTAAGCAATCGATTATTCTCATTATCAATCAAAATAGCTCTTCTCCCTTTCAGCCCAAGAGCTATTTTAGCTTGTGTAGTATGAAGTAGTGAAATTGCATCTAATCAGTTTTAAAACATTATATATTTTTTTATCACGTGAAGTCATTATTTAATGAGACAACAATAAACATATATCCCGGACGCTTTCATCGCTAATAGCTCTATAAACACGCGTGCTTTATAATATTGCCGTAAATTTATTTATATTTACATAAGATTGTGATATATATAGCAAAATATATGTTATTAATCAACATAGTAGTAACCTTTTATACTTTTAAGGAAAACTGTACTGATGTGATGTTAGCGCAAAGATTATAATAATTAATTAAATAAAAATATTGTTATCCAATTACGAGAGTTCATTTAATACAATTATCGAATGCTACATTATTTAGTTGTGCCATTTATTAAATATAATCGTAGTGTAGTTAAAATATGTTATATGAAGCATATCGGAAGAGTATGAATTATGAGCGAAAGCGCTGGATTAGGAAAGGTTAAAAACAACCCGCGAATTTTGTGACAGCAGCTGTCAGTTGTGTAGTAAGTTTTTTTTTTCGGGTATGTTTGTAATGGCGGCGTTCTTAGAACAAACCCTCCACCTGCTAGGACCGACACATTGACCAGATAACTGTGTGCCTTTTGGAGACATTATACAAGAATATCGCCTTCTCTCTCTCCTGTCTTTTATAATATACAATATTTATGTTACTGTATTGCTAAAAAATATGTCCAAAATGTAACGAAAACTATGTCATGTAAGTATTTTGAATTAGAGCAAGAACAAAATAAAATACATTATTTCATTTAGGGACCATTATACTACATAATATTGTATACATTAACTACTGTGTTACATGTAATTCTATCATATATAATATTTTATATAAATAAGAAAATATTATATATTCATTCATATATGAATCGAATGTGTATTTTGATAAAAGTAAAAAATTGTTGAAGTGTTTTTCACTTATGACAGCAACAGTGTCTTTCGTGACTAATGAAACGAATGAAATTAATGTTCACGCAATGCTCTTGCCAATTATTTAAATTAACAATAACGTAAAATAAATTATTCGAAATGAATACATAACATTGCGACATTTATAAAAATAATAATTTAAAAAATATAGAAAGGGGGCAACTAATGAAGAGTGAATGAATTCTCCGGAACTACCGAACAGATGTTCGTGCAGGTTCCGTGGGTAGCTCTATTAATTTTTGAAAAAAATATATATCGTTATTTAAAGATTTATGGAATTTAGTCTTATACTGTTAGAGGTTTACACAAAAAAAATTGCTATTATTCAAACGGAAGTAACACGCCCAAACCACTGTACAGATTTTGACGAAATAAGGCACAGGGATAGCTAGGATCTTGGGAAAGAATATAAATTAGTTTTCAAGCCAGTGCGTGTCTCCATTCATGCGATATAAAGTAAAGCCCACAGGGACGAAACTTCCGGCGGAAAAATGTTCTAAAGAATATCGTTTTCTAATTAATTTATGAAATGTTTCAAATTCATCCGCTATTATGAGATATTTTCGTTTCTTTGACTTAACTAGGGCTACTTAATCTAACCAATGATGATTGAACAATAAATATAAAGGTATGTATATTATTATTCATTGTTGCCCGTGTGTCCCCTACTACTCGAACGATAGAACTCAAATTTCTGGATTATGTTCGACACAGGAAAAATGAAACGGCTCGCGTGATAATTAACATTCGGCAATAATTGATATTAATTTACGCTCTTACAAAACTTGCCATTGACGCTTTGTGGCTTTTAATAAATACTAAAAGTTATGTTCAATTTATAATTAAACAATTAAAATGGAATTCCGTAGATTTTGTAACTTTATTTAATTTGTTATACCATTTCCAAACATCCATGTCATGTGCAACATAAATGCGTTTTTTTCATATGTTTTCGAAAATGTTCGTGTAAAACTTTTGTAATCACACGCTATAATAATATTAAGAGTATAAAAATTTAATGTTATATTGTCACATTCTTTTAAAAAATATTCAGCTGGCCTTCCAATATTATTTTTACGTTTTGAATGATTTTAAAAAAAGTGTGATATTTTCCACTAGAGCCTACGATAAGTTCACGTTTAGGTATAAACATTGTTTAAGTATAAATTCTCCTCTCGTATTAAAGTGCACATTGTAAGGAACAAAAAAAAAACAATATGTTAATTTATTTAAGAAGCCTGTTAAAAGTGTTGAAGTGTGTATGTCATTCGAAGGATAAGATTAAAAAATATGACATTTTTCTATTGTTTACGAAAAAAATATGAATTTTGTTAAAAGCAAAATCCAATGTTATATGTACTAAGTAATGGATCTCTAGTCGGTCTAATTAGTTGCAACTTGCCGGAGGGTCGCGAAGATTAAATGTATGTTGTTTTGATGTAATTAATTATTAAAAAATAAATGTTATAAAAATACTTATTTTTATTTTAAAAACCCTGTAAATTCGGTTTTTTTTATTTGGAATTTTCAAAATTACACAACCATGAAACGAATTGTATCATAATTTGTCATCATAATTGTATCATCCTCACGGATCGTTTGGAACCTCTGGGTCTGCGGAGGGATTTCGGTTCCCTCTGTATTTTGTACCGTATGTTCCATGGGGAGTGCTCTGAGTTGTTCGAGATGATACCGGCATCTCGTTTTTACCATCGCACCGCCCGCCACCCGAGTAGAGTTCATCCATACTACCTGGAGCCACTGCGGTCATCCACAGTGCGTTTCCAGAGGTCTTTTTTGCCACGTACCATCCGGCTATGGAATGAGCTCCCCTCCACGGTGTTTCCCGAGCGCTATGACATGTCCTTCTTCAAACGAGGCTTGTGGAGAGTATTAAGCGGTAGGCAGCGGCTTGGCTCTGCCCCTGGCATTGCTAAAGTCCATGGGCGACGATAACCACTCAACATCAGGTGGGCCGTACGCTCGTCTGCCTACAAGGGCAATAAAAAAGAAAGAAATAATAATTATAAGATTGAGGGATTGGCTGTGATGATTTGAAAGATAAGACGCCCGGTGTATTCAGTTCGAGCTATGCGACAACATGAGTGTTCAAATTCCGCAGACAGGCAACAACGGTTCTAAGGAAATACCTACTTAACACGCGCTCATCTCGCATGGCTGCGACAATAAAATCACACCGGAATAAAATTAATCATTTTTGGTTAGACTAAGGGCCGAGTCACACCGGAATGGCAGCGGCCGGCAGCGTCACGGCGAGCACTTTCAGTGTGAAATAATTTTAAAGTTTATCTATATACTTAAAAGATCAGTATCGCTTGAAAAGTTCGCGAAACAGCCGCCGCTCGCCCGCGGTGAAGCGTGCGTCTTGTCGGTGGTTCTGCCCGCGGCTACAGAAGGCCGCTCGCGGCACCGCGCTCCTATATAATAACCAATTCCATCATGGTCACTCCAAACACACGAGTATCATTGCTGAATGAAGAAACTAAACTAGTCAAGAGGAGACTAGGCGCGTGCAGTCTGGAGGCCGGGGGCCGCGGGCATCGCTACAGGCCGCTGCCATTCCGCTGTGACTCGGCCCTTATAGTATCTCTACACCATTTGTGCGGTTTGATGGTTCCTTTGATGCGAAGTAAAGTGCTCGCTTCAGGAATATTTGTTGACGGAAACAGCCGTAATCAGAGCATACAGACTCCACACTCACCCGATAATCTACAAGTCCTCGTACTCTACATCGGTCGAATTCAAACTAACTTCCTATCAAACTAAGACCGAGAAGCGAGTACTTCGCTATTTTATTAACAGCAAATAGGCAGATTCAGAAGTATTTGAAGTGATGTTAGATTTTAATAAATTTTATTAGCTTTAAGTACATGTTGGACGAATAGACGGAAGCGTTGAATTTGTATACAGTTAGAAATTTAAAATTATTGTTGTGGATTCATTTTGGGATTCCTTGCGTCTCTTCGATCAACAATTGTTGATCGAATTTGCGTCTTCAAGGTTTCATTGGACTGTCGTTTTATTGGACGTTTGCCTACGTTTGCCGCTAGGGGCGTTGTTCCAACTCCATACGGATTTGAGTTAACTTTTACGCTATCGAGAACGTTACAAAACTCGCACTGAGCACACTACTGTGCTACCGCAACACAATCGCACTATCTAATTTTTAAGATGAGACAGCCGTTAGTCAGAGCAAGGGAGACTGACGTTATATTTCATGGTTAGCAGCCATTTCGTCACGATGTTGTCTATGGACTCCCACAACCGCTCAACGCGAGCTGTAGTACTCTGAGCACTACACCGCTCTGCCAAGAATCAAATAGGATAGAAAAACAATGAAATACCATATGCAACATTTCACATTATTTAATCAATATTTATACATATAATATGTGTACATGAGCTTATTACCATAACAATATATTTATTAAACTAACACATTCCCTTTTATTACATATTCATTTAAGAACAAATAAATATTTTACATATTGATTTTATATAAACATTAAATACCTAAATATGAACATAGACTGAACGTACAGAATAGTACGAAGATGATGAGAACGATGGCGATCCAGATGGGCACGGAGCCTGCGGAGAAACCACCACATTATTAATTCGATTCTCATATTCACGGTTGAAAGGCAAACGTGACTAAGCGACAATAACTGCTTTGTACATAAATGATAGTCAATAACCATATTCGATGCGCAAAAAAAATATAGTTCTAGGTCTATTAAAATCATTTCAATCCTACAGCTACTAGCTAGATTTAATACAGCTAGATTCGTTAAAATAAATTTTGTTTTCAGGTATTTCAACTTTAAATTAGTCTACTGTAAAGTTGACGCATTGTCGCTTAGTCACGTTTGCCTTTCAAGCGTCAATATGTTATATATTATATTTACAACCTACACAAATATATTCATTAAACGCTTTTATGTTTCCCGCCATTTTTGGGCAAACGAAAAAAACTTTGTACCTGAAACTAATCGACCTCACGTCGCGGTCTTTAATGCTTAGATGAGTGGACGAGCTCACAGCCCACCCGGTGTGAAGTGGTTACTGGAACGCATAGACATCTACAACGTAAATACGCCACCCACCTTGAGATATAAGCTCTAAGGTCTCAGTATAGTTACAAATGCTACTCCACTCTTCAAACCGAAAAGCATTACTGCTTCACGGCAGAAATAGGCAGGGCGGTGGTACCTACCCGCGCGGACTCACAAGAGGTCCTACCACTAGTAATAATACGCAAATTATAATTTTGCTGGTTTGGTTTTTATTACACGATGTTATTCCTCCACCGTAGAAGTCAATCGTGAACAGTTGTTAAGTACGTATTTCATTAGAAACATTCGTACCCGCCTGCGGGATTCGAACACCGGTGCATCGCTAGATACGAATGCACCATACGTCCTTTAGGCCACGACGAGTTCAAAAGGTGTAGTTCTACTTCTCCGTCTCTATGCTGCTGTACTTTGAACATGTACTGACTACTATGACTACTATGACTATGACTACTATGACTATAACTACTATGAGTATGACTACTATGACTGTTATGAACATGCACTGACCGCGGTAGGGCAGGCTGTGCACGCAGAGGCAGTTGTCGACGGAGATGCTGAGCAGCGCGGCCTCGCTGCGGCTGGCCACGGCGGGCCCGTACCCGCGCACCGGCAGGAACTGCACGCCCGTCACGAACATCCGGTGCGCGCTCCTCACATGCAACACGCGCTGTACCACACACGCACACACTGCACTCGGTCAGCCGCGAGCGCACGCCTCTACTGCGTGCTCACTCGCTCACTGCGACTTCCTTAACGTTCTCGATAGCGTGAAAGCTAACTCAAATTTGTATGGAGTTGGGACAGCGCCCCTAGCGGCAAACGTATACAAACGTTGTAATTCCATACAAATTTCAGTTAACTTTTACGCTATCGAGATCGTTAAGAAACTCGCACTAAACACACTGATGTCCGCAGTCTGACCGAACTGTCGAAGGCATTTTGTGTTCAACAGAGCCACAAACGAAACGAGACGATTTTTCCGTAATCACAACTACATACGTTCCGGTTTCAAATTCAATCATTATTAAATATACAAATAAATAACAGAAAACAAATCACGCACGGTCTTCCGGCTCCAATTTAGGATTCCTTGTGTTATGAATACCGAAGATTAATAAACATACTCATATATATATTTAAGTATACATAAATAGACAATAAAAACCCTGATAAACAGCAAACAAACCTGTTTATCACACAATGTTTGCCTGATGTGAGAATTGAACCCACGATCCTCAACGCGACAGTCAGGGCTGCAAACTATTGCAACACCAAGTCAATTCTAATACAATTGTGATTTCGATATTATATCCGATTTTTTTATTGCTTGATGGAAGCACGAGCTCTCGGCCCACCTGGTTTTATGTGGTCACCGGAGCTCATACACATCTACAGCCTAAATGCCACCACCCACCTCGAGACATGAGTTGTAAGGGTCTCACTTTTAATAGTACAACGGCTGCCCCACCCTTCAAACCGAAACGCATTACTGCTACACGACAGAAATAGGCAGGGCGGTGGTACCTACCCACGCAGAGTCACAAGACGTCCTACCACCAGTGACTTTGCCTCTGCCTACCACCACCAATATAAACTGCTTCAGGTATTTACATAGACTGACCTGCAAACTGAAGGCGATGTAAATGTCGACGGAGCCACTGAACATGGTCCCGACGCCCACGAAGCGGCCGTCGTCCCGCACGGTCAGCGCCGACAGAGACTCGTTCACCAGCACCGTCTTCTGCAGCGAGCCGTCCTTGGGGTCCCAGAGCTGCAGCAGACCTTTCTGTTTGCCGGAGCGACTCAGCGGGTTCGCTATCGTGAACATTCTGTGCGCGTCTTCCTTGTCTTCGTTGGGCCCGAACCTGCGGCGAGAGGGACGCGTGTATACGGTTGCTGGTGGGATGTAATTTTTTTTTTATTCCCCTTGTAGGCAGACGAGCATACGGTCCACCTGATGGTGAGTGGTTACCGTCGCCCATGGATTTCAGGACTGCTAGGGGCGAGCCGCGACCTCAACATACGTGGTCTGTTTCAGTTACTAGTCTAGTCCGGTTTCAATGATGGGACAACCATGATACAATATCATTGAGACTTCGACCTCAAGCCTCAAGGTTAGTCTCATTCACGTAACGTCCATACCACATAAAGGTTTGGACTGATACATAAATGTATAGCTTGCTCCGTCTCCCCTTTTCGGCTCAGCTAGTTTAGAAAAATTCAATGATGGAGTAAAGTGTATACCACTCAGCTTTTTATAAACTTTGTGATCCAATTGCCACCTTAACGTAAATTAGGGATCTCAATACGAACTATTGCTTAAGTATTTCCTTAAAAACATTGCAAACACGGACATAGTGACGTCAGTCGATTAATCAATACACCAAGCCTTAATTTATTTCTCCACACAGTAAAGTCTTAAACTAATTAATTATCCTAGGTATTTTTATAATATTACTTATATGTTTATATATATTATTCTACTATATGTGTGACTGAACTCCTCGTAAGCGGCTGGACCGATTTGAATGAATTATTTTGTATGCACCCTGGATGGTTTAGATTCACAAATCAGCCCGGCAGATGGCACTGCGGTCGGTATCTAGGTTATTTATCTATACTGCAACTAAACATCTGATCGACTTGAATGATTTTTGCAGGATAACCTCTGTCAGGTCCACTAGTGTATTATAATATATATCTGCGTTACCTGCAACGTCTGAAGAGGTACTTGTTCCCGTTAGGGGGCTGGCACGTGAGGGTGAGGAGCGGGGGGCGCAGGCCCGCGGTGGACCACAGGCAGGCCAGGCCGTCCTTCCCGATGCTCACTAACGTCGTATCGCACGGACTGAAGTCTAGATCGTCCAACTGAAAATGTTTAGAACGAACAAATAACATTTAATGTCCATTATATGTCCAATAACATATTATGCCAATTTATGTCACCGTCTATTATTTGTTTAATATGGTTACTCTGTACATGTGGTGTCAAATAAAGTTATTATTATTATTTAATGTACCGAAATAAAAACTATATTACGGTGTCTTCCAAATAAACATAATAAATTGGAAAGATAGGCTGATGATGCCTTACAGTAACAAGCCAATCGGTATTCCGTCCTTGGTCATCTGATAACACCAATTGAGCAACATGCTAGTTAATTATGGTAAATATTACTGTTTGTTATATTCAAATATCATTTTGTTATTTTATGGAAAAAGCATAATGAACATGGCAATACTGCTAACTTTGTCTTCAGGTCTGATAGGCAAAAAAGTTCTTTTGGAAGAATCTAATCTAATACAAGGCTTTAATCTTAGGCCTTGGATCAGTGCCATTCAAATTGTGGTGTTTTTTTGCTCTGGTCATCATAAGAAGGGCGAATTAAAAAAAAAAAAATTATTAATGTATAGCGAATGTTTCTCTGAATACAATACCATCACAAAGTTAAATAAATAAATAAATAAATAAATAAAGTTAAAGGTCATTAAGCACATAAAATATGAATTGGTGTAGAGTCACGTATTTTCTACATTCGTAATCATAACAAGACAAACGTGTCTTATATTGTTCTTCTATTGTGCGCGCGCTGATCTAATGAGTTCCAGAAATACGTCGAAATTATATTTAAAAAAAACTGTCTATTTGCCCTGCTAATGATTATTTATAACTAAAAAACATCTGTTTTTTGCGCAGATTGGTGCACTAACTCACGGCATATCTATTATCGGTGGTATATACTTGTGACACTCACGAGATGGGATAATACAGTTCTAAGAAGGGCTGACTCCACACAGCCAACTTAAAATGAATGTTATAATTGATATATAAAAATGAATTGCTGTTCGTTAGTCTTGCTAAAACTCAAGAACGGCTGGACCGATTTGGCTAATTTTGCTTGAATTATTTGTGAAAGTCCAGAGAAGGTTTAAAAGGTAAATAAATATGAAAACACTCGGAATTCGTCGGACAGATTCCTTTTGTTTGTTTTAAGTTTATTTTATACAAAAGTTTAGGTCTTTTATTTCTCAATTGAGGCACTACAAAGTCGGCCGGGTCAGCTGGTAATTGATATTTTTAAAAAATCAAATTATTCTCTTGACCCCTCTAAGCCAGCTGTTGTCAAGAGCCCAGATAAAATACTTGTCAAAAATATTTTGACCACAATACAAGTAGATGATGCTACAATCACTAATGAAATGTAAAATCAATTTCATAATGTTAGGTAAGTTACCTCTTTAGTATGCTTTTCCAGTACGTAAAGGAGTTCCATTTTTGGAAAGGTCCAAACTCTGACCTTGGTGTCGATGCCACCTGTAGCCATCAACTTCCCATTATTACTAATCCTGACAACACGCTGCAGTGGATCATTACTGCAATAATAAGATTACCACTTTGTAATTACATATAGTCCAAACATTATCAGTTCATCATGAGGCTCTGCATGGGTGGACTCATTAACCTAAATCTCTGGATCTAGGATTCACTTTTAAACTCTATTTAGGTTTAAGGTTTTTAACTCTGAGCTATCACATTCTTGAAACTAGGATATATAACTGTTTTAGATATACATCTTATTTTAGTTTAGTTTAAATATATTTGAAATGCTGAGATCAATCTCTGAGTCTGAGCTCAGATGGTGCTCCCCATACTGCTTTAAGATAATCACCAAAGGTAAATTTAGCTAACAATATATTAAGAATCATTCTGCCATGTAGTGTGTAAGTTAGTAGTAAGGCAGTCAGAAATATAGCGTTGTGCAATTAAGACGTGCATTTTATTATATACATAACATACATAACCAACCATAAACAACCAAAACTTCATCTGAAAAACTTTTTCTCTTTTTTTTCCTTCCCATCAAAAAGCCAACCTTTACTTAAAACCCTATCAATATAAACTAATTATTATTAACAACTTTACCCATTAACTACATTCTAAACACTATTATTTAACAGGACCTTACCATATTTTTTAGTTTTAATGAGTTATAACTTGTTTTTAAACTAAATACACTGAGTAATGAATATAACTAAGTAATAGATAGCTATTTTGTAGTTGTTTAACAAAGAAACTATAATTACCCACAACTTTAGTTGTTATTTTTTAATAGCACAGATAAGTTAGGGTTGTCATTTTTTAAAGAAGAGATCACAATATAATCTTTCATTGCAATTATATATGGAGGTTATTCATTAAAAGGGTTAATTGTTACATGTTTTATGTATATAAGTAATCTGCATGGTGCAAGCAATTTAATCTTATCTTAAATTATCTTTAGCATGACAAAGTCAGTCAAAATGCATTTAACATAAGAACTGTGCATACTAATAGTATAATTATAATTAAAATTATTATAATGATACGGAAATACAAAGTAGAACTACAGTGTAGATTAATCAAAATTAATTTTTACCTAAAGTCAGTCTGCACACTATCACAAGGCCTGATTTCAAATGACATTCTTTTCTCTGTGTTACTAACATTGTTTTTCTTTGATATATTATCATTTTCAGAGACTGTCCGTCTCCTCCGCCTCACAAGCCCATTCTCAGCCCGGAAACTTCCTCGTCTCATTTCAGCAGCATCCACCATGCGGATGTTCACCTTGTACAGCTGACAGTGGCTCTCTTGTCCCGCTGTGAGGTACGTCCGGTTCTGGATGCTCCTTACGGAACACGTCATCACGACATTAGGACCAGTCTCATGGCGCATCACCTCTTCAGCGACAAACCTCTTCCCATTATGTGACAGTTCAAATATTTCCTACAAAATGACAAGTTTGGGATAGTGAACTTTATGTTAAATTTTGCTTGTAATTCAAAACAGCTGAAAATATCGAAATATTTGTTTTTTAGTATTCTGTTTTGTTTGTTGAAAATGCATCATACTCACAAATCCATTTGCGACACCTGTGTTCGATGCTCCTCCTCCTCCAGCAACAATGACATGTCGATTTGTTAAGGTTTGGAGCGTGTAAAGTGGAAAATCAACTTTAGCTAATAATCCATCAGACCTATTAGGAGACATCTTGAGTTATAACATTAATTTTCACTATTTCACACACGATATCCTTCACAACAACACTATCTGGGTGCTAACGAAGGCCACATGAGTCTGTTTGTATTAACTATATTATAGTAAATAATAGTAATATGGTTAAAACAACGAGAATCCGACAAAACTTGACAAAGAATCGGTCCTGTTCGTCAAGAAATCGAGACTTCCAACATGACAAACTTTGATTGATAACAAAAGTCAAAACTGACAGCAAAATTACAAACCTACTTGGATACACGCGTAGCCCATACAGCCAAGTCTTTTGATTGAAGAGGTGGATGCTGATTCTCGAAATGAAATATAGTGAATGTATTAGTAAGGTATTAGTAAAATATATTTACTGAACTTTTAGTTGGAACCAATAAATTTTTTCAAGCAATTCGGTTCAATCAATTTATTTAATTCTCCACTTGCACAAATTATAATATGCGTTAGTGAGATAGTGGTCTCTCAAATTATTTAGCGATAAATGCCACTTTACAGTGTTTTCAGATCACCAAACCATATATGTTTCTACGGGAAGGCTCGCAATAAACTCTAAATCTAAATAAATTTAATGTTAAAATCTGGAATTCTATTTTCGAATTCAGACGTTTATAATTGATTATTTTGTTTTCACTACCTGTATGTTTTTCATCAATATGGATGATAAATTTAAAAGTAATTATTGAATACGTGTACGGAGTGAACACTACAAGCGAAAGCTTTTTATTTATGATTGAGGGATTACTGGTAGCTCGGAGACCTTTCGAGTTTCACCAGGACAAGTGGGCGAGTAAGGGCTCAGCCAGGAGGGCGGCTTAAAGGTTACCGACATTAAGATATTGATCTAAAAAATGAACCCCGTCAAATTGGCAAGGTAATAAAACTTGATAGCTGGGTGCCACTTGAACTCGCAGAACGTGTTAAGATATGTCTTGCGTTGTTTAACAGACACAGAAATGAATTGTCACTTGCGATAAAAAATTAATTATTTTTGATAATCATTAGCGGTCATACATGTTGATTAGACCTAGGCAATGCCCCGAAAGAAAACTTACCCCTAAAAAGTTATGGTTAGGTACTGTTTGGTGGTCCAGTCTCGGTATAATTCATTAACCTTCATACGAAATGGTACCAGCATTACTGCGGACATGTACCTACAATGAATAATTTCCCAATGTTCCAGTCAGCCTTGGTTAATTGCCGTTCCCGCTGCTCCTGGCTCCTGCACGACAACGCTTGACCTCATACGGTATAACAGACGGTCTGTAAGCCACAAGAGATAGGGCTGGAAGTTTTGCGTCATCTACCGTACTCACCAGACCTTGCGCCGACAGACTTAAATTTGCAAAGTTCATAGCCGGAAAAAATTAAAAAAGTGTGTGTGTCCGCTCCGACGCACGACTGGAGTTTACTGGATATAAAAAATTAAACGAAACAATACGAGAAATAGTTCTATATTACGACAACACGATACACTACAGATTATTAACAAATTAACGAGACACAAAACAAACGACTAACAAATATATGAAAATACAATAATGAGAGAAACGCGCGATCAGTACGAGGCTTTGTGGCGGACTGCCGGCGCAGCAGCCCGGCGTCACCTGCGATAACGCGGCCGCGCGTTGGCTCCTGATTGGCGCGCGCACGCATCACGCCATCAGGAGCCAATCAGGCGCATAACGCATTTCGTGTGACATGCTAGTACGATTTTGGTCCCCATAATTTTCATACCCCGGGCCTATATATGTAAATCGATTCTAAAGGAGTAAACTCCAAATATCCAAAGGCTTTTAGACTTTACTTGTGAGTCCGCGCGGGTAGGTACCACCACCCCGCCTATTTCTGCCGTGAAGCAGTAATGCGTTTTGGTTTGAAGGGTGGGGCAGCCGTTGTCCCAGCAGTCCCCAAATAACTATACTGAGAGCTTAGAACTTATATCTCAAGGTGGGTGGCGCATTTACGTTGTAGATGTCTATGGACCCCGGTAACCACTTAACACCAGGAGGGCTGTGAGCTCGTCCACTCATAAAAATAAAATAAATAAAAAAAAGCACTACAAAATTCCTTTGGTTTGTTGGTTCCCGTACACCTGACTTCTTCAAGAAAGGCATTGAAAAATGACCACTGCGCAGAGATGCATTGATACAATGGCCGCATATTTTGATTGATAGAAAAAAAAATACTAGCTTTCTCTATACTAAACGGCGATTTCATAGATAAACAGCCCACTGTGTTGCTCGCCGGATCTTCTCAGTGGGTCGCGTTTCCGGCCCGCTGGTAGTTTCTGCGAAGCACTGCTGTTACTAGGGCTAGTGTTAGCAACGTCCTCAGCTTAGGGCTCACCTACTCGCTAGGTTACACTGGCATAGCCTCCCAAGGGTACCAGCTTAGGTCGGAATAAAAAAATAGACAAAGACAAAATAGAAAAAATATATTTAAATATATTTTCCCAAAATAAAAGACTATTCATTTATTTCAAAACATTTATTGTCACAACTACGAATTTGGTATACAATAAATGGTAGTAAAAACTTGAATTAAAACTACAATACATTAGTCAAAACGAACATAAAGAGATCACAATTGTTAAAAATAGAATAAATAGAAATCTATTACAACAAAAGATAGCGTTTGACGGCTCAAAATAAATCCGAAAGATAAAGTGTGAGCAAAACATGCGCGCACGAGTGAAATGCATTTTTCTTCATTTAATTTCATCAACTTATTTAATGTCGAACTAAAGCAGTAACAACTCAACGAGTACAATGTGATTAAAATATTTCAAGGAAACATAACGGTAACATAAATTAATTAATTTAAAGTTGCTTATCCTAAGAGGAATAGGTTACGTTAATATATTATGGTTATATTTTATACGAAGTAGTATGATTATATTATGGGATTAAAGATAAATAATGAAGTTCGGTTACTAAAACTTCAGAGACACACACTGGGACAGTGGAATGCTACTTTGATTATTATTATTATTATTATTATTAAAAATTTAAAATGTATGTTTGCATCGATGGGCGATTGTTCACAAAATCACGTTCATCTGATACTTAATCGATAAAGTAAATTCGATGGTTTGCGACTGGTTTAATTTATGGAGGTTTTATTGTTAACACGTTGACCGCCACGTAGGTCACCGGTGCCCTACGCGGCGCACTGAAGTAATTATTTCGATTTCTGTTGCTAACGCGCCCCTGGATTGCCTTACTTTGCCTTCTTTTGTTTGTTAATGTATGTTTTAGTCTCTTAAGTCTCTTAGAAATTAATTAATTCTCAGTAACGTAGACTGGGAGGAATAGGAACTAGAGGTAGAATAGGGACAAATCTGGGTCGTCACAATGCTTTTGTGAGATTTAAATTTGTTGAATTGAAAAGGACTTTTATTTAGTATTTATGAATATTAAATAGTTTAATTTAGTCATGGGAGTTTTGTAACTGATTATAGATGTTGAAAAGTTAATTACTTAAAGGTAACCTACCTAACAACTAAACAGTGCCAGCTCTATCGAAAACTCTATTGTCCCTATACGTGACCGGATTCACCCCAAAGGGAAGGTGGATCAGGTTAAGCTAGTTTTTTTAAGTTTTTGTATATATTTTTCAATGAACTATCTATAATAATGAATCGTATATGAAAATTTATACCTCCGGAACCATTTTAATCTGAATTTTATTGGTATTACCCCAAGAAAAACCTCTGAAAATTTATCTTGGAATTGGAAAGCGTTCCGATTCCCCCCAATCTACTGTATCGTTTGGATACGTCTCTCCCAGAGTCTACTAGATATTCCAGCGCCTAGTAAGAAGATCGAAAGAAGAAATTTAAATAATTACTTACGTAGGGCACCGGTGACCTACACGGCGGTCAAAGGGTTAATCGGGTAATTATTTGTAAAATATTTTTTTACTCATAATTTAACGTTTCATGTTCTCAGATCGGTTAATTATAATATTAATTCCTGTAACAATCACCCATCTCTAATACAAAGATAGACACAGAGCTCAGAGGTACGTTCGTATATTTCGTGGTACGACTGATAAAGTACGTAATTCTAACGTCCTACATAAAATACGATAATGAATTATTAAAATGCCTTCCCGTAATTTTCATTCAAAAACAATTTCCCTTATACAAATACCGTTCCGATGTTTACCATTCCTCGAAAATTTTGAATTAGCCACATTACCCTATACCGGACCCTCACTCTGAACACAAACCGTTAACACACAAAATATCGTATCGACGTGAAACATTCTACATGCCGTTAGACGCGTTAGACGTCAGGAGAGCGCCTGGAGGCGGCTGGGCCAGGCGCGGACAGCCGACGCGGTGGCCGCGACGCTGGCGCTAGTACGTGAAGATGATGGAGCGGATGAGACCGTCCCGGACCGAATCATTGATCTGCCCAATTCCGAAGTTGAAGAAGACCGTCTCGACGGCCACCTGCTGCGCGCACGTGCCCATCGGGTACCAGCCCACTTTGTTGAACACTATCCCCACCTTGTACACCTGCCGGGAACGAGGATCGGTCGGCTTTAGCAGTTTATAAGGTCACAGTTGACAGGAGTGTTCACTCTTCAACCAATTACACAATAACCCAACGAGGGACTACAGGGGAGCGTCGACGGCAGAACGAGCGGTACAAGAGGAATGGGAAAAGGAAGAGGACATCCCTCGCTTGTTAGGGAATGGATCCATCATCATTTAACCAGTAAGAAGCACCGCCATCCAATTCACAAATCGAATCACTATAACCCATCATCATCTCACCATCTCATTGTTGTCGTGACCTAACAGATAAGACGTCCGATGCATTCGTGTTGAGCGATGCACCGGTGTTCGAATCTCAGGCGGGTACCAATTTTTCTAATGAAATACGTACTCAACAAATGTTCACGATTGACTTCCACGGTGAAGAAATAACATCGTGTAATAAAAATTATAGTTTGCGTAATTACTAGTGGTAGGACCTCTTGGAGGAGTCCGCGCAGATGGGTACCACCACCCTGCCTATTTCTGCCGTGAAGTAGTAATGCGTTTCGGTTTGAAGGGTGGGGCAGCCGTTGTAACTATACACGAGACCTTAGAACTTATATCTCAAGATGGGTGGCGCATTTACGTTGTGGATGTCTATGGGTTCCAGATGCGCTGTGAGCTCGTCCACCCATCTAAGCATTATAGTCTAAGATCCGACTGCGGGATTAGTGCGCTCATCGGTTATTTGCTAAAAACCAAATTTTTATGTATATTTATAATTAGGAGAATATATATCTACCAAGTTGCCTATCAAAATTTGGCCGCTAGTATTTTTAATTAAATTATTGTTAATTGCTTATTGGGAAAAAATTTCGTTCACTTGTTTTTTAAATAAAATATCGTCTACATCACGGCAATTTACATAATGATTTTAAAAAATCACGGTTGCCATTGCGCACCTCGCCGCACCTCTTCGCAGCCAGGTGTAAACAGGTATGATTTCGATACTTTTTTACGTTCATAACGTATATTTATTAATTATATATCAAATTGAAGCTAATTTTTTTCTATTAATTATCATATATGGTTGCCTAATTAAATCTGGCCGCAAATAAGGGTTGCTGGCTGTTAAAGATGATAAATATTTAAGGTAGAGTGAAAGAGAGTTAACGCGTAACATCATTTGTCAGACGAGGATAGCGATTGCCGGCTGTGCGACGGTTTTAAGCCATTGCGCATGCGTCGAATGTTAGTGTCCTCAACTGAACAGATGCGGCATTTTTATTCTAACATAAAAACCACGCTGTTTTGGAGTTCGTAATAAACGTTTTATATTTACATTGTTGTTTTATTTGTGCATCTAAAAATTATTAAATTAATTAAGGTAAAATAAAATTGATAAAGATGAAGTCGTGTTTTTTGTGTAACGAAAAAAGCAATGAGTATTTATTAACTCTCTGTTACTTCCCGGTGGTTAAGAACACTAACATTCAACGCAAAACCGTCGCACGGCCGGCAATCGCTATCCTCGTCTGACAAATGATGTTACGCGTTAACTCTCTTTCACTCTACCTTAAATATTTATCATCTTTAACAGCCAGCAACCCTTATTTGCGGCCAGATTTAATTAGGTAACCATATATGATAATTAATAGAAAAAAATTAGCTTCAATTTGATATATAATTAATAAATATACGTTATGAACGTAAAAAAGTATCGAAATCATACCTGTTTACACCTGGCTGCGAAGAGGTGCGGCGAGGTGCGCAATGGCAACCGTGATTTTTTAAAATCATTATGTAAATTGCCGTGATGTAGACGATATTTTATTTAAAAAACAAGTGAACGAATTTTTTTCCCAAAAAGCAATTAACAATAATTTAATTAAAAATACTAGCGGCCAAATTTTGATAGGCAACTTGGTAGATATATATTCTCCTAATTATAAATATACATAAAAATTTGGTTTTTAGCAAATAACTAATGAGCGCACTAATCCCGCAGTCGGATCTCGTACTATTACGCTGAAATAGCCTCTCAAGGCTATCAGTTTAGGTAGGAAAAAAAAAATCTAAGCAATAAAAAAAATATATCATTAAATCATCGCCTCAACCACATCCACTTCATCGCCATTCGGTAACAGCCATGCAATCATCACTCCTGCCTGTTCACTGACCTTGTTCCTCTGGATGTACACGGGTCGGTTGAACATGATGTCGAGCAGGTGTCGGTAGGGTACGCGGCTGGTGTAGTGCGTGTAGGTGAGGCGCGCTCCGTCCGCGTCCAGCAGGTGCGCGTACAGCAGCTCCGAGTAGCCCGCCACGCCCGGCACAGCGCTCGCAGCGCCTTCCTCGCTCGGAGCCTGCGTCGGCACCTGCGGGCGGACCACCCTCACTGTGCGACCCCACGCCCCCCGCGGTCTAGCCTATCTAGTTTGATGGGCAGAGGAGAGCAGGCCGCTTTGAGCAGTAAGATAGCTGTTACTCCAATACATTGAACGTGCGGGCGGACCACCCTCACAGTGCGACCACGCGGTGATAGCGATCTAGCCTATCTAGTTTGATGGGCAGACGAGAGTAAGCCGCTTTGAGCAGTAAGATAGCTGTTACTCCTGTACATTGAACGCTAAGGACGGACTACAGTTGATTTGATATTTATCACATTCATAATAATAATTTCTTTATTTCTCTCTTAAAGGTATATTACAAATACAAATGGAAATTAACCTTATAATTCAATTATTTTGTAAGCCTTTGAAAGAGCTGAAATCTGTACTAGGTTCAAAGACCTGTATAACTGATCTCCAGGCTCATTGTGTATTCAATAATTCAATGCATTGTGTATTCATATATCTCTATTTACATTAGACCTTTAGAGATGAATCAGTAGTTGATAGTTAATTAAGGTTAGCAGTGGTTCGGTTAGTCAACATGAATCAGTCGTGTCGTTTCAGTAGAGGCGTGACTACAGTATTAGTATGCGAACATGAACTAAGAATAAATAATTATCGTTTTAGCAAATTGTTCGTGAATTCCCCTACAGGACGAGCGCTTACTGCTCAGTGTCACGCGGGGTCATTGATCCTTGGTACAGCTGTTTTAAATTCACGTGTAAGTTAATAAAAGGAAAATTTCGCCATAGCTATTTTCAAGTGTGATTCTTTTACCTTATTCCTTTACACAAAAAAATACGTATTGTGAATACGAATGCTGATTTGTTACAATGGTTTATGTGCAAAAATGTAACAAATACTAATTTAAATAATATATTTTACTAAAAGAATTTTCGAAGTAAACATTTTTTACATAATCAGCATTGAGTGGTAGACGTGGATTCTACAACATTACCAAATTGAATATTGTTAACACGTCGCTTCCTTTTTTTTTACGATGCCAAAAACCGGCCCATGTTGTCTTACGGCGAACTCCAGAGTTCTACGAAGCCTAGCAAGTGCCAAGTTCCAGATTGAACCTAACTATTCAGAACTAAAACACCCCGGCATGTGAATAATGTTCACGAGTGCTCACGAACTGCCCGTCACCAGTCAATGGATCGATAAGGCGGTCGCAAATAATTGCCAAGATTCTCCCCGGCCACCCTACCGGTGCAAGCTGCGCGGTGCAACTACTTCGAGAACTAACAATTGCAGGGGCTAAAGCTCATCTAGGTAAGAAGGATAAACTTCGTGAGAGTGGGAGAGAGAGATTACCGAGTTAACGGGGAGGTAGGTAGCATTGAGTGTTAGTAAATAAATAAGCAATTACATTGTCCCGTCACCAACTATTGCGAAACGTAAATTATCACGCTGACTGCGTTATTAGGGCTTAAAAAGCCCCATGCGCGACTGTCTGTGACAGTCAAGACTATGTCCGCATTACTATAGATATGGGTTTATACGAAAACAGACTTGTGTGAGGCCCATTAGGTCTCATGCGCACTGTCATCTCATCAGCACTGTACACAAGTCCAATCATGGCACGAAAATACCTGATACTGGTTGAAAACCCCCCAAAAACGGTTCCGCAGTCAACGTTTATAACAGTTACATTAAAACTAATGAAATGATTTTATTTTGTGATTAACCCGACTAATCTAGTGAATACGGACGAAATATGGCACAGATTGAGCCCAAGACGAGTTATTCGAAAAAAAAAATGTTAGGCAGATGTGAGTAAAGCTGGTGAGGTATTTAGCGGAAAAAAAAAATTATAGTCTGCTACCTGGACACCGAGGAGGCAGATATTCTTGTCGACCATGAAGGTGACGGAGCAGTCGAGGACGCTGGTGTTGAGGCAGTCGGTGTGCTGGATGATGGGGCGCTGGCAGTAGATCTTGCTGATCTCAGCCCCGCGCTCCATGTGCTCCACGCCGATACCGTTCAACACCGGATTGTTCATCATTGATGACATACGTACACCTAACAATATTTGTCATGTGAGCACTTGTGAACACACTCCACGCTACTACGCACGATACACCCGAGACGTCGGTTGAAGCCACACTGTTCATGTTGGGTGAAGTTAGAATCGGCCGATTCTATGCAAAATCTTTTACGAAAATCAACTCTTCTATTGGATTCCAGTCATCTAGTTCGGTTCACGATTCGGTGTTTGGGTGTTTTCTAAACGAATATTATTCTTTAGTTTTTATTGAAAAACTTCTCGTAAGTTCTTTCAGCATTGATTAGCCTCTCAGGCAAAATTGATAAATCCATTGTGTATATAATTCAAAATCTTTTTTTATTTTGATTTTCATATCATTAAACACTCTTATTTGAAAAACAAAAAAACCGGCGAAACGACATGATTAAAGTCGTCGGGGCCTAAAGGATAAGACTCCCGGGGCACTCGTATAAAGCGATGCAACTGTGCCAGTGTTCGAATCCGGCCGGCAGCTACCAATTTTTGTAAATTTTTTCAATTTTTAATACGGACATATTCACCATTAATATTTACGATGAAGAACATGAATAGCATCATATAATATAATTCAACCCCGAAAAATTATAATTTGCGTAGTTACTGATGGTTGGACGTCTTGTGAAGTCCCCACGGGTAGGTACCACCGCCCTGCCTATTTCTGCTGCGAAGCAGTAATGCGTTTCGGTTTGAAGGGTGGATTTGAAGGGCAGTTGTTTGACTGCAAAAACTGAGACTTGGAACTCCGGTCTCAATGTGGATAGCGCCATTTACGTTGTAAATGTCTATGGGCACCGAAGACCACTTAACACCAGGTGGGCCGTGAGCTCTTCCATCCAACTGAACAATTAAAATAGTTTTGTTTATAAAATTAATTTCATACATTATAATTTATATATGAATAAAAAATACAGTTGACATTAACCTGGCCAGAGGCTAGTGTCGAACCCCCACGCCGTACCAGTTACTCAAACATCTTTAACTTATAATACGTCTAACTGCATTAATGTTGCCTGACGGGTCTTCTTACTAGGGTCCGTCACATCGTCTTTTCGCATTAAAAGTGTACAATTTTCAAAAATATTCGAAATTGAGTTAATATGCGAAATCATTTGGTATCACCAGTATTTTTCTTATAAATACTGTCAAAAGAGCGTAGTTTAGTTTTAGTTTTTTTTTTAGTTTACCTATATTTTGACTAGGTACTATTGACAAAATTAATAAATAATTTTATCTTACTTTAAAAGACAGATAATGTAACTGGTAAAAATTAAAAAATAAAAGTTGCAAAGATGATTAATATTAAAAATATAATATGTTAAACCTTTAAAACACTGTCCTGTAAAATTAAGCAAGTTTTGAGATTATACAGTTTTAATGCGAGAAGACGACATGTCCTATACATCCTGCTCGTTGGACAGGTCGCATCTGTGCATGTGGGAGTGGCACTGACCTTCGAGCCTGGGGTGCCTGGGGAACTGCATGACGCAGTGGTGGTGGTGCGGGTGCGACACGTTGAGCGAGTGGCCGCGCGAGGACTCGTTGCCGAACACCTGCTCCAGCATCACGGGGCTCGGGGTGTCCACGGTCAGCGTCGGGATCTGTCACAACGTATTCCAACTCTTGGATGATTAAGCAGATTTTGACATTTGTATCGCGATTATTATTTTATTACTAGCTGACCCGGCAGACTTCGTAGTGCCTCAATCGATAAATAAAAGACCTAAACTTTTGTATAAAATAAACTTAAAACAAACAAAAGGAATCCGTCCGACGGGGGACACATCAAAGATTTAATTCCGAGCATTTTCATATTTATCTACCTTTTAAACCTTCTCTGGACTTCCATAAATAATTCAAGATCAAAATTAGCCAAATCAGTCCAGCCGTTCTCGAGTTTTAGTGAGACTAACCAACAGCAATTCTTTTTTATATATATAGATAAAAGATAGATAGATAGATTTCAGTTTTTAAAAAAGCATAAAATTTTGTTAGTAAGAATTACTTATAATCTATGTTAGTAACTTAAAAATCTTACACATAACTATCAGATACCCATTATATATCATTACAATTTTTTCCTTCCAAATGCCTGCTGCAAAGGCTTCATCTTCTTCATTAATCATTAGTCCTTCGATCTTGCTCGATATGATGTTCAGAAGGCTGATTATGTAATACTTTGAAATTGCAAGTCAACTTTATACTTATTTGTTTGTTAGACTTCTGTCTCCCGTCGTTGCTAGTGGTACAATAATGAAAATTTTAAGAAGTTTCTGCAGGTTAGACTCGTGCCTTCATGTGTAATGGAATGTTTCAAAATAATTTTCAACAACTTCAAAACGTTCAATTAACGTTAAAATTTGTCTAAATATTATATTTTAACACCTTGGCCAGATATGGTGGTCGATATCATCAACATAAAAAAAATTGTTTGACTATTTTTCTTTAAATTGTATTTCATTACGTTTGTTAATCCACGTATATTCAAGACTAACCATTTGAATATTATTTTGAAGTTAAATTTATTTATTGTGAATGTACATAATATATACAAAGATTCTTTAGGATATAATTTAACTCTTGGAATATTTTGCACTAAAAAGACTTTAAGAAGTACAAATCTATATTGTTTCATAAGTTCCTTTTAAAATATAAGTGAAGTATTGTTTCCTTATTACTTTAAGTTGTGATTACTATATTTTATCAAGTTTTTACTTGTTTGTGTATCTTATAATTTTTGCATGATACACGAAGGAACAAACATACAAAAGTTAAAAAAAAAATTATTTATAGTTCCTCCTACTGATATTCATCGCTCATAGCTGAGCGTCGTGCTGCGCCCGCCAACACCTTTTTTTATGATCCGTAGATACTTATGTCGGTCAGTGGAACAGTGAGGTGCGTTGCTGTCTCGTGTCCTCATCTACTTTTCAGCTTCATCAAAATACCAGAATATGATTAATGATTTGTAAATTTGCCAAAAAAACTATTTATGGCTTTAGCATATTATAAACAGATTTTATACAAGCAAGGCTTACATTGGAGGACTGTGGGCCACCGATGAGTTGCTTCCTGGGAACTCTGCAAGTAGAAAAGCCTCTGGGCATGGGCACATCAGCATTGCTGGACAAGATGTTCATGAGGACTGCAAATGCTTCAGACTCGGTGAGCAGGGAGGACTTGGCCGGACCCTTGGCGAACTGCTGAGGAGTCAGCGTCAGGAAGCGAATTTTCTCGATCGCCTTGCGGATGGTGGGCTTGTTGTCCTTAGGCTCAACTTAAAAATAATTATGTCATTGTATAAAAAAGGGTTTTTATGAAACAGTAACACGACAAAGACAAACGAAGTTTTTTTTGACTAATCAGCCTACCTCTCTTTTCCTTCTTGGTCTCCTCAGGAACTGGAGTTGTTTCCGGTTCTTCATCTGGCTTCGTAGCATCGGTTGTAGCGGCAGGACTGTTCTCAGCGCTGCTCTCTACGTTTACCACCTTTAAATATTGAAAATTGTTCTCAAAAAATATTCATACCTATCCCGAGCCTGCAATAATACCTACCCTCGTATTAACCCTTCACAAATACGTAATACTTTAGTACATAATTAGGTTTCGCCACCAATGCAAACTAAGCTTCCTCCTTGCGTCTTATTCCTCATTGCTGAGGGTCGTGACCACCCTTTTGTATCAACTTCGCACGCACGATCTTTCTCCATCTATTCTTGTCTCTGGCGGTGTGGAGGGCATTGTGAAACGTGGAATCAGGAGCGATGCGTATTTGGTCGGACCAACGTATTGGGCTACGCCCCCGTGGTCTTTTCCCATCTACCTTACCAGTCATGATGAGCCCCTCGAGATTGCTACCATCCTAAACTAAGCTTAATGGTCATAATCACTTAGCAGTTGGCGGACGGCCTCACCACTCGTATTGGATCCTGTGCGAAAACTCATTATAATTCTTAATTTTTGTCATTTAATATAATTAATCTACAAATTAGCTTCGTGAAAACAAAAGTGAGAGGAATATAATTAATTGTCTACCTTCTCCTGTGAAGTACACGGCTGAGGACTCTTGGACCTTTTCTCGGCTGGCGGTCCATCAGCAGGCGGGCTAGCGCTCCGGTCGTCCTTCCTCCTCTCCTGTCCCTTCGCATATCTAACAGCAGCTTCGAACAGATCCAGCTCACTGTCGATGTTCAAGTGTTCCAAGGAGAACACCGTGATCAGCGTGTTGAGCTCCACTTCCTCAAAGCTACAGTCGTGGAGCACCTCCTTGGTGTTAGTGCTAATAATCTGTATTAAAAAAATATATCGGTACCATTGATGTACAACGTAAAAGCTATAGGATAATTTAAATTTAAAAATCACCGTCATTCACCAGAAACCCCCATAACCAACATTGTTACTAGGATCAATTTAAAACCGGCTCAAACATCGTTAATTACAGTAAAAGCTTTTAATTCGCGAGGTGTAGGTTCCGTAAATATGCCGCGAATACAGAAACCGTGAATATTGAATGGTGATTTACATATATTGGGATTATTGGCGATACGTTCTTATGTAACAAAATAAAAACAAACTTTAGAAATTATTGTAATTAGGATTATTTTACTTTTTTATTAGTCTATTTGCCGACGCGATTACAAAGGATATTCGGTTGGATACCTACATATTGGGATCTTCTTTATCAATGTGTATGTACCGGTGTACCGATTCGATAGACGAATAAAGAAATCTTTAGTCGTGAATACAGGAACTGGGTCGCATTTTTGTAATCCGCGAATAGTGAAAACGCGAATGAAGGAAGCGCGAATAAGGAGCTTTTACTGTAGTTAGGTTTCGTAGCGCATTTCGGGTGTATTGAGTGCATTACGTAAGTACAGTACGCTGATACACAGGGCCCTCACAAGTTGTCTCCGTCTCACCTTATCTTGCGTTCGCTCCTTGACAATGCAGTACGTAAACTTAACTTAATATTTGGGCCGTAGTATAATTTAAGAATACTAGGATTTCGTTACCTGGAGACATTTGTCCATCAGCACGCTCTCTTCGAAGAGACGGGCGAATTCATAGGCTCGGCACGCATTGCGAGGGTACAGATCGGACCACAGATACTTAGTGCACTCCTTGACTAGATGCGGAAGCATGTACTTTTTGGCGCCATAGCACAATTCACATGCTTTATCGAATGAACTGATGTTGATGTTATCCGTGTAAATGTATCTGTGTAAAACGAAAATATAATCCACATTTTCAAATATTCCTCATTTCCACATATATTTTGCATACTATGGTGAAACGTAATTTCCCATCAAGGGCCTATTTTTACTATTTTGAAGTTTTCTCATTAAAACTATAGCAGGGCAACCGAGCTCACGATTTTTTTTTCTCGGGCCGAACCACCTACGAGGTCCCCGCGCCTAGGGTGCGCGCGGGGTATGTTGGTCTTGACGATCTGCAGGTGTTGGGAGCAAACCGCGGGCCCAAGGAATTTTAGGCCCCTACCGCATTAAACGACTCCCCTGCACTCTTATACCCGACGTTCGATCTCCGTCCGGGGTCAGAACCCGCCAGAGTAGGGAGGTTCCCGCGATCAACACTAAAACCAGACACGCGGCGCCACCCCGGGGACGCCCGACCGACGGGTCGTCGAGGCGATAGTCGACGACCAACGACGTCGGTCTCCGCGGTACGGCGGCTCTACCAGGCCGTCCGGGCGATGCCGCTGGTGTTCAGGGATACTCCGCTGGGCCGGATACAGCGGTCGGAACGCAATACACTGCCGACCGGGTTGCCCTTCCACAGCATGTTCGGCGACGACAGCGACGACGACAATGCAGGCCGCAGCCGCCGACGCGTCGTCCCGTCCTCCTGGTGCCAGCGCGCTAGAGTGACGGTAGCGTGCGGCGCAGCCTCAACCCCCTCAGGTCACCCCATCACCATCACCGGGAGGAAGCTGCCTCCTCACATGTTGCATAAAGGCTACCTCAACCCTCAAACTTGTCAGTTCGAATGCTTCACAGCCACTATGTTGTGTATGAACAGTAATTTCAAATCACTCAAATCTTTGTTAAATTAAATAGTAATTAAAGTGATCTGGTGAGAACTTCTCTAAAATTACCACTTGTAGTTTTTTATGTTAGTGTCAAAATCGGACTTCTCAACTTCCTGATGAAGTTGAGCTACTACCTTTCACAAAATATCTACACCCTATAACAAAAATTCGTCCTAGGATAGCTGAATTCTTATAAAATATTTGGAATTAATAATCAAAGTAGCCAAATTAATGCAATTTAAAAAGTCTAACATTTATTTTCAGTAACAATACATAGAAAGGCAATTTAAATGTGTATACTGTATACACACAGAATTATCCAGGCTGACAAACATACCCAATATATATGTGACATGTGATGTGTGGAGAGGAGATGCATGAGACTAAGATATGTATAAAAATGGTAGTGCAAGGTAAAGGGGCCAGAGGTCGACTGAAGATCACATGAATGGAGTATGTGAATGATGATATGAGAAAGAGACAAGTGTTTTTTTAATTGACTTTTTTACTTATATGGATAGAGGACGAAATTCGTATGAAATACGTACTTAACGGTCTTGAGATGATGGCTGTAGAAGAGAATGGAATAGAAAAATTCGCTGTGCCAACCCCACTTAGTGGGATAAGGTGGAGATAAAGAAGACTTTTATCTAATGATATTTCATTTCTTAGCTTTAAAAAATCCAATGCAATACAAGCAACAGATTTGCGAAAAAAAAATTGTTGAACTTATTTTCCATTATCTATTGACATGTGCTGGTAATATTAGTTAATATACATTACAAATGTTTTCTTACTGCCGCCTCAAAAAATAAACCTTTACTCACTTTTTTTAGTGCTTAGATGGGTGGAAGAGCTCATGAATCACCTGGTGTTAAGTGGTTAGCGGAGCCCTTAGACATCTACAATGTAAATGCTGCCCCCACCTTCAGATAGTTCTAGGGTCTCCGGTTTTACAGTGCAATAACTTCAATACCACTTAATGTGATAACAATAAAAATATACATTAATTTTGAAATCTCAGTTACTCACTCTAAAAGCGCTTTGAATGCTTCAGGCTGGACATCTAGAATAGGGATCGGATCATTTCTCTCAGCCATTCCACCGTAGAACATAGCTTCGAACACAGGAGAAGCCATTGCCAGGATGAGCCTGTGGCCACGCACCTCAACTTGGTTCGGCTCAGATCCCACCAGGAAGGTACAATCTGACCATTGTTCAGATTGAAGCAAATACTCTCCTCGTTGTTTAATTTCGGTGCAGGCCAACTGCCAGTCGCACGGTACCTCGCCCATGGTGTACAATTATATTTTCTGTTTTTTTTGGTACATTCAAGGCTCAGTATGTATCTTTAAGAAAACAATTTTTTTTAAATCACCTGAAATAGTGGCTAGGTATTGATTGATGCAACTGTTTACAGAGGTGCTTTTGAGATATTCTGTTTTGTCAAGTTTTGTGACTATTATATAATTTTGACACCAGCAAAAGTTTTATTAGTAAAAAACTAATTTTATAGTCAAAAGCTCCCATTCACTATCTTTTACTTGTGTCAGCTATATGCTGGAACAAAATACAGATCGGTTTTTTTCATAAAAAATATTCGTTTATTTTGTGATATGAATCTCCGTAAACGCTACCTGGCAAAAATCAATATGCCCAGACACTTTCGTTCAAAAACATTTTTGCATTTTTTTTTCTTTCACTCTCAATTTAGTAACAATTATAGATCAAATAAAGCATATAAATAAGAAAAATAGTATATTCCGGAATTTAAATGTACAATTCAAAGGAAATGACAAAAAAACAGATAATAAATCTGATCGACCGACTGGGGATGTACATTTCCGATCGGCAATATTTCAAAATTGTCAACTTATTTTTGACAATACACAGTTGATTACTTTTGACAGCGTCAAAGCTCGAAACTGGGCAAAATCAAAAAATGCTAATAATAATGTAATTTATTATTACGTTTCAAATACGGCAAAATGAACCAGGACGATATAAAATCTGTTGTACAGGAAAAGTTTCTGTCTAGTGAACGAGTTACGGCGTTCCTGAGCGATGCCAAAGTACTTTATCCTGAAAGGGTAATGAAAGACAGACTGTTGGCGATTGTTGAATTTGGAGATGAAAAAGCTGTTTTTTGTTTATTTACATCATGTTACCCACCGAAATCCTTCACGGATTTATCCATAGAAATAGTTTTGCCCATCGACAATAGTTTCAAATGTGAAATCGACAACAAACCGACTGATCCCGAAGCAGTATTGTACCTGAACCTTCAATCTCGCAACAGTAAGTTCAAATTCGAAATACAAATAACTCCACGAGTTGACAATTTTGTTGATGATCTGTTCAGAGGTATAGATGCAGTGAACAAAGTCCCCACACAACCAGAATTTGTATGGTTAAAAAAATATAAAGGAAAGAGTGAAGAGGATATATTTGCTCATACCATGGTTGTAGAAAGGTCTGGAGTGGCCCATACTCAAAGCTCGGCTCCTGTTGCATTCAGAGAAAGCCTAATAAAGCATAAAATGGCAGACAAAGAGATGGAATATACATTTTGCAAAAGATTTACAATTTTTTGTGGTACATGGAATGTCAATGATAAACCTCCAGTTATTCCTCTCAAAGAGTGGCTTAATGTAGACAAAGAGCCCCCTGATATTTATGCTGTTGGATTTCAAGAATTAGATTTGTCAAAAGAGACTTTTCTCTTTGACCAGACTGTTAGAGAAGATGAGTGGTACCATGCTGTGCTGAACTATGTTGACCCTCGAGCTAAATATGTAAAGTTGGAAAAAGTGAGACTGGTTGGAATGATGCTAATAGTTCTAATAAAAGCCAAACATGTGTCTCATGTGAGTAATGTCATCTGTGATACTGTAGGCACTGGGATAATGGGGAAAATGGGCAACAAAGGAGGAGTATCCATAAGGTTTGATATTCACAATACTTCTATATGTTTTGTGAACTCTCATCTTGCAGCCCATGTTGAAGAATATGAGAGGAGGAATCAAGATTTTCGAGATATATGTAATAGAACAAGATTTGCACAACCAAATCAACTGCCTAAAACAATAAAAGACCATGACCATATTTATTGGTTAGGTGACCTGAACTATAGGATTACAGAACTGGATCCTACTACTGTCAAGCGAATGGTTAGTGAACATAATTTTGGACCAGTACTAGAGTGGGATCAGTTAAAACAGCAACATAAAATAGATAATGTATTTTCTGGATACCTTGAGGGTCCTATTAACTTTAAGCCTACTTACAAATATGATCCTGGTACAGACAATTGGGATTCCAGTGAGAAAAACAGAGCCCCTGCATGGTGTGACAGGATATTCTGGAAAGGAAAAGAAATTACACAGTTGGCGTACAGGAGTCATCCTTCTCTTAATATTAGTGACCACAAACCAGTCTCGGCTGTTTTTAGTTCATATATTAAAATAATAGATGAGGAAAAATACAGAAAAGTCTATGAAGAAGTGATTAAACACTTAGACAAAATGGAAAATGAATTGATACCACAAGTAAAAGTTGACAGGACTGAAATTGATTTTGGTACAGTGAGGTACCTTGAACTGCAAGTTCAAACCATCACTATAAGGAATACTGGTAAACTACCTGTAGAATTTGAATTCATAAAGAAATTGGATGATACAAGTTTCTGTAAAGAGTGGCTCATAGTAGAACCCTACAAAAAAAGTATATGTGCTGATGAAGTTTGTGAGATTCATCTGAAAGTACTCATAAATAAGACTTCGGCTTGCAAAATGAATGCTGGTACAGACAAACTCTATGATATCCTTGTGCTCCATCTTTATGGAGGCAAAGATATTTTCATAACTGTAAATGGAACATACCAGAGGAGCTGTTTTGGATGCTCCATAGAAGTGCTAGTGAACTTGAATGTGCCAATCAAAGAAGTAGCTGTTGGCAAACTGATTGAATTAGAGAATAAGAGAGATCAAACTGTATCACAACAGTCCACATATTCTATACCAAAGGAAATTTGGTTCTTGGTAGACCATATTTACTTGCATGGCCTTAAAGAGCCCAATTTGTTTGAGCAACCTGGCTTACACTCCGAAATTTTGCAAATTAGAGATTGGTTAGACAGCGGCTCTATAGATCCTATCCCTGGGAGCATTCACTCAGTAGCTGAAGCCCTCTTACTTTTGCTAGAGAGTACAGTAGATCCAATTATTCCATATAATCTTCAATCTGTGTGTCTGAGAGCTTCAGCAAATTATCTTCAATGCAAACAGATTGTCATGGAATTGCCTGAATTCAGGAAGAATGTCTTTTTGTACTTATGTGAGTTCTTGCAGGAAGCTTTGCAGCATAGTGCAGAAAATGGCTTGGATGCGAAGACTTTATCAACACTGTTTGGTTCTATATTTTTACGTGACAATCCAAATAATAGTCATGAGCCTCAGACAAGAATAAATAAACAAGTCATTGACAAGAAAAAGGCCCAATTTGTTTACCATTTCTTAATAAATGATCATAGTGATCTGATATTCTCAAGATAAAGCATTTTGTTCAAATGTGCACTTTTAGATACTACATTTTACAAAGTGAGTAGTACCCAGGGTAGTGATTGAAATAAATTGTATTTCTGTTATGAAATTGAATTAATCAAAGTGATGTAATCCTGCCATATTGATGGACTTATGTTTTTATGTAAATTAAAAAGCTGGCTTATAAATATGTCTCCACACAATCCCAGTTTGCTTAGTACTTTACATGTACTGAACTTATGATAGCTGACTGAATTGACATTCACCTAATTCACAATTGTAAACTTAAATAGTTACTTAATGTATTAATTAATATACAGGACTAGGATTTTATCTATAAAACGAAATAATCCACTTGGAACCTGACATATACTACAATTTGATTTTATAAAAATGTAACATTAGGTTCTATTCATTAAGAAAACAGCCTCTTCCTCTGTATTTTTATAAATACTCTAAAATTTATTTTTTTACTTTGAAATTGTTTTAGATCATAAACGCTCTAGTTATGTCATCACATTTATATATTTAAGTAATTTAACGAAGGGTGAATTGCTATTTGGTTTAAGAGACATTTTTGCAACTTTACATTAGAGCCATTTAAAGCTTAAAATTTGGAAAATATATAACAAAAAACTTATTCTGCTATTTGAATAGATTAAACTGAATTGAAGCTTAATTAAATACATCCAACTGCTAATGCTAATACCAAACAAAACGCACCTTTAATTACAAAGATAATTAATGTCGCATTACGCGAATGTCGCTATAACCAAATAGCTTTGGTTTCGCCTTTCGTTATAATGAAACTCATTCCTAAATTTTTTTTACTTGTTAGAGCTCTCTTCTCTCGTTCGTCATTCGTGTGTAGAACGTTCAAACTTATCGTTAAAGATACGTTACCGATGCTTGAAAATTAAACACACAAATTAATACAATTGAATACTTGAAGAAATCGTACTTATTAAAATTAATAGTGAAATTGAAATGCAATTGAAAATGAAAGGTTTTGGAGAGATAAATGAAATCTGCTTGTTCTAAATGACTGCAAGTGATTTGTTGGAGAATGGATTCTCTGTCCCTTTCTCGCAAAGTAACGGTAGGATTTGACGGACAGAAGCATTAACGTCATTATTTAGTATAGTGTCCTCTCTCTTTAGCATGAGATAAAAACAAAACTTTTTTTATATTTGAAAATGTTGTTAATTGCGATTCAATTGCCTGCGTTTATTTATGGTTAACTTCTTATATTATTTAAAAAATGGCTCAGTTCAAAGCCGTATTGCGCTATGCAAAAAATGCCATCGTACATTTTTTCACTAAAAACTCGCCTTATGGATTTTTTTAAGATTCTAATTTTGTGCTAAATATTTTATTTGGTTTTAACCCTCACAACTCATCTGAATAATAGTAACATAACATCTAAAAATTTGACCATTGAATCTATCGGTTCTCACGATTCTAGCGATAGTTTTATATATTATTAATCACAATTATTTATCACAACATAATTTTAGTAGCCAAATATGACGAACAATCAATGTTGTAAACGAATATTACTTTGTGATATTATTATTAAAAGGTGTGAATGTGAATAAGCTTCAATTAAAAAGGTATCTTTTAAATTGCTATTTATTTGTGTATAAATTAAAATAAAATAGTTACTCACTGTATTTGTAACAAAGTATGATAAATGAGTTTATGAATACGATTACGTATCTTCAAATGTATGTGTAGTTCAGAAATGTAACTGTTAATTTATTAAATTATTATTGAAATGAACGTCTTTTAAACTATCAATATTACGACAAGTTATAGTTATATAACATATTCATATTATAATATATATGACGTGTTTTAGGAGTAAGTCTAGAAAAAACAATATTTAATTGTAAATAGTACACAATGACTTATTAAATTTGGTGATTGAAATAGAAACAGCTTTAAAACGCTGTAGTTACATTTAAAAATTATTTCAGGTTAATTCTTAACAAATAACCCTCATAACGGTCAAAAATGTTATAATTAAAAACAACAAAAACGGCCGTTCTAAGCATTGTAATTCAAATAGATACTATAAACGCCGAGGTAGTAATGGAATTCTTTCGTCTGCTGCTTTAAAATGCGCTGTTGTGAAGTAAATAGCTGCTAAAATTACAAGTACGTTCATGAAGTAATAATTATCTTTTAGGTTTACGTTACCTACGTTTTGGTCTCTGGAGCGAAGTAGACAATATTTATCATCAAGTTAATTAAGTAAAATGTGTTCGTTCCTGTTATTTGGAAATTTAAAAATACATTATTTCCGATGCGATTCGTTACTGTACCATCAAACTCTGGAAGAAACTTTCGTTATAGGTTCAAAAAAAAAAAAACTACAGTTGCCCATGTGTGTTGATACAGTTGAGACTCGAGGCCCCCATTGTATTCTGGTTTGTAAGGTGTTATGCCATGCAATTGAGACTTCAAGGCAAGGTTTTAAGGTGAGTGAGGGTTTTGAGATGCACTGTCTATAGGCTCCAATAACCATTTCATAGCTGCTGCTGTAGTGAGCTCGTATCTTCTATCTACAGCAATAAAAATGAGTTTTAGCCTAAAACTAGTAAATCGTAGCTAGGACTTATAGTTAAAACGTAACGAACGAACAAGTAAAACAGTAATATTCTTGTTTATTTAGTCTAATAATGATGCCTAATTAATTATAAAGTATTAGAAGTTCAATAATTGTAAAGTATGAATAGATCTGATTGTTTCGTTTCTGAACGCAGTCTAGATCACGATCAATCGATGGAACACATGGCGCTAAATTTGATTTCAGCCAATCACGACTCTGCGTTCGACCGTTGTGTCAAACACAACAAACAGAAAGCGAACGCGTTATTTTTCACATCCTCTGTTTCTTTGAAATTTAATTTGAAATAACAGCTGTAACGGCGTATAGGAGTTAAAGTGTTTGTTGCGAATAATTCTACATTTATTATCGGTTTGTCTGTTGTGATCGTCGGACGCAGTTCAGCTGTTTCGAAGTCTCTGTCGGTTAAAAGTGGAAGCCATGGAAGTTGAAACTAAATGTAAGTTCTTTGTTTTTATTTTATTTTTATAAGACAATGACTATGTGATTGCAAATCTGTTTTTACATTAACCTTATTGGAATAAAAAACACTTTAGGCGCTATTCATTGTCACGTAGCTACACTATAATATTTTTGGCAATTGAATGAATACGTACCTACGCCGGGACTTATGAAACTGTTTGTTTTATTAATAATAAAAATAATGTTAGGTATTTAGTTAGGTAGGTATTTAAATCAATTTCAAATATTCCGAAATGACTTTATGTTTGTTAAATAATTACCAAAAAACCTTCATTATCAATAATACATTTCGATATGATCATTGGAAAACGTTAAAAATGGTCGACATCACTAACAACTTCCACTATGAAGGTATACGAAATAAAACCAGCAAATTTTATAAATTATGGTAATGACTCGCATATTCATCCCGCAAGGGTATTCCGCCTGTTACTACCGCCGAGCAGTCCTGTGTTCTGGAAAATACTATAAAACTATATGAAAATATTCTACCTTCAATCTTCATGAACCTAGGAAAATACTGCTGACAACGTGCATTTAAAAAAGCAAGAGAGACATTAAAACATATAAATAAAAGCTGTAAAACTAAATAATTAATTTACCAGGTGCACTTGTTTATACAAATGTGTTTGGGCCCAACGATCTCACGGCCCTCCCGATTTAAATTGGTTACCGGAACCCAAACGAGACAAAAGATTTTATTGGAATGATTGCAAATATGCAAACGCATGATTGATTTGGATTGGAACGCGCCAATTGCTGTTGATTCCGCCGACAGAAGTACCGATTGTACTACTGCTTTACGGCAGAAATAGGCAGGGTGTTGGTACTTGCCTGTGCGGACTCAAAGAGGTCCTACCACCAGTAGTAAGTCATGCGTTTCAGTCAAAGTGAAGTCAGAAAAAATAGCTGTTATTCGAATCAAACTAAAACTTCGACCTCATGTCTCAAAGCTGTCCGTGTTATTCATGTTGTGGCTTTTGTCCCCATTAAACTATACAACATGCAGACGGATAGAAACTGAGTTTTTAGTGCGAATTGAACGTTCTCGATAGCGTAAAAGTTAACTCAATTTTGTATGCAGTTGGAATAGCGCCCCTAGCGGCAAACGAAAGGAAACTTTTCAACTCCATACAAATTTGAGTTAACTTTTACGCTATCGAGAACATAAAACTCGCAGTAAGCTCACTATTCATTTAATTTTAAAGTAAGTACTATTATTTGGTTTTCTCGAGTCGTAGACGTAATTAAAACTGATTTTACGGTTTAATTTTCTGTTTTTGCGACATAAAAAGTTCACGGTCTCCGTCGGAATTACAAAAATGGAAACGAATAAAGCGTAAAATTTGTTTTAATAATATAATGCAGGTTAATGACAAAAGTACTGCATCAGGAGGATATCGGGAACACGCCTTTGTTGCCGTTGTGCCTATTGTGTTCATTTAATCTTTTGTTTGCGGAACTCGCGCTTATCGGAGGTCACTGGTTGAACGACTTCACAAAGATATGTTCGCGTAAACAAGGCGATCTTCTTTACGCCATGAAAGTACATGCAAATGGACCGTCTCATTATAATGTGTAAACGATGACCGTGTCATGAAACACTATATTGTTGTTATTTTTAAACGAATATTGGTGACTTGGCTGTGCCCCTGGCATTGCTTACATACGACAGTGACCACTCTCGTAAGGCTGGTCTGCCTACAAAGGCAGTAAAAAATATACGCAGAAGTCAATAATTAATATTATGCCAAAATTATGACTACTTTTTATACGAAAATCTATTGGGTCTATCCAGGTCGAAAGTCTATCCAGGAAATTTCACACAGCATGTATGAATTGATAACGACAATTTAGTGTTTTCCTAAGGAAAGCTGACTGTCTCATAACCCTTACAGTCTAACAGTCATCGGAGACGAAATACGAGAGTATCGCCGCTCAGTTCGAAACAAAAGACTACAGCTTAAATTCCTTTACTTCGTTTGTGCCTTCAGACTGGATCCCGTGCTTACGTCGTAGCAGAAATAGACGGAATTGTGGTACTCATCCGCGCAAGGTTATAATACTTCGTGGAATGTACGTAAGGAGTTAGAAATAGGGCAGGAAATTGAGCAGTTGAACACGTCTCTTGTGATTCTGGACTAGGCCAGAGTTACTATTCTTTTTCG